GCCGGACGCCCACTCCCAACCCTTGCTCCTGGACTGCATGATCCAGACAGCTGCCCAAGGGCCTCTTCAGGGGACACAGAATTGAATTCCCCAGTTTCTGTCCCTCAGCAACTCACTTTAAAAAGGAACTGATGTGGGACTTCCGTGGTGGTCTGGGGTTGGGACTCTGCTCCCGCCACAGGGGGTGGGGCGTGGGTTCAATCCTCGGTTGGGGAACTAACAGCCTGCATGATTCATGGCGCAGCCAGGAAAAAAGTTTTGATGCCTCATGAGGCCGCAGCAGAGGGCTGGGGGCTGTGAGGAACAATTCCTGGGAATGAGGAGGGTCCTGACTCACCCTCTAAGTGCTCAGGGAAACAGGTACACAGACGTCTGCCTTTGAGGGGCTCTGAAAGCAGAACGAAGTGTGGTAGGAATAGGAAGAGAAACGACCACGAGCTGGCTGTAAGTGCTGGGCTTTACCTACAGCATTTCACACAATCCCTTCAGCACCCAAGCCTTGGAGAGAAATAACGCTCATACTTAGGCAGGCAGACCCCTTTCTAGAAATTTTACATACATTTACATATTTAATCCTCACAATAAGCCTATGAGGTGGGTCATCTTATCCCCATTTTATGGATGAGGAGACTGAGTCACACAGAAGATGCCACCTGCTGAGGGTCAAAGAAGCAGCGGACTTGGGATGTGAACCTAGCAGGCTGACTCCAGAGACAATGCTCTGAGCCACCTCTCCCCTGTTCAAAAGGCCAAGGAGCCACTGGAGCCAGAGGCCCAGCAGTCAGGGCCATGGTGGCACCCTTGGCCAGCGTCAGGTGACGTGGGTACAGGACTGAAACCTGGGTCCATCTGATGGAAACCCGGTGCCTCTCCCATCACACCAGGCTGTCACCTTGACTGGGAAAGCAGCAGGTTCTGCCACAGAACAGGCAAGGAGGGCCTCCTGTGGGGCACAGGGCTTGGGGAGGGGCAGGTGGTAACCAACAGAATTTGGCAGTAGTAAGCAGCAGCACACCTGAGGTGAAGGTCCAGGTCCAGCTGCCTCCCAGCAGGCTATGTCCTAAGCTGGGGGTCAGGGACCCCACACGTCTGAGCGGAGACAGGCTCTCCCTGGGTCCTGCAGGCCTTTGGAAGGTGTGCGGCAGAGGCTGGGCTCTAACCAGCAGTGTGGCCCTGCACAATTCCTCTCGCCCCTCCGGGCCTCCGCCTTGCCTCTTGCAAGCCCCGCGGGTCAGCGTCTGTGATCTGAGCCCTGTCCTAGCATCGAGCCCGATTTCCAGGCTTCTGCACAGGCTCTCCTTCCTCCTCCCTAATCCCCTCCCTTACTGGACTGGGGCGTCTCCCCAATCCAGGGCTTCGCTAACCGTTGCCAGGTGTGCAGCCGGCCCCCAGAGACCCCCCCCCACTCCCCCTCCCCATCAAAGAGCCGGGGTGACGCAACCTCCCTGCAACTGCCACCTCACTCCCCAAGCCTGGCTCCTCCGCAATGAAAAAGAGTCCCCAGCAGCCCCACCCAGGCTCCCAGCCTCAGCTCAGGAGCTGAAGGGCCGGGGGGGGGGGGGGGGGGGGCAGCAGCTGGACCCTGAGTACTTGGCCAAGCTGGGGGAGGCGGAGTCATCTGAGTCCCGGGGGGACCATGGATCCAGATGAGGGGTGGGTGCGGGGAGATGGCGCAGGTTGCCAAGACCTGGGCTCACAGGCACCACTGATGACCCACTGCCCAGAAGCTGAATAGGCTGGGAAGGGCTAGGAGCTCAGAGTGCTTGCTGGCACCCGCTCCGCAGGGCTGAGTCAGGCCGCGTGGGCGGGGTGATTGGCACCAGGACTCAATTCTGTGGGACCCAGCTGGAGAGAGAAAGAGGCACACGGGGCAGGGACCGCCCGGCCAGGGTCTTCTCAGTCAACAAACTGCAAGCAACTGGTAGCAAGATTTCCATACTAAGTTCATTCTCAGCTATTAACAAACTATCTGACCTGACCACCGTCTCAAAACCCCAGAGTCCCAGTTTATGCTGCTGCTGCTGCTAAGTCGCTTCAGTTGTGTCTGACTCTGTACGACCCCAGGGACGGCAGCCCACCGGGCTCCCCTGTCCTCGAAGTTCTCCAGGCAAGAGCACTGGAGTGGGTGGCAATTTCCTTCTCTAATGCACTCATGCATGCTAAGTCGCTTCAGCTGTGTCCGACTCTGTGCGACCCTATGGACAGCAGCCCATCAGGCTCCTCCGTCCACAGGATTCTCTAGGCAAGAATACTAGAGTGGGTTGCCATTTCCTTCTCCAAGTCCCAGTCTATGAGACAAAACCAAACAGAGGAACAGTCCACAGAGTACCCAACCTGCACTCTTCAAAAACATCAAGGTCACAGGAGACAAGAAAAGTCTGAAAAGCCTCGACAGACCAGAGGTTGCTGAGGAGACGTGAAAACTAAGTGTAACTCGGCATCCTGGGGGGATCCTGAAACAAAGGAAGGGATCAGGGAACAACGGGTGAAATCAGAAGATAGGGTGGGCAAGGGGGTAGGTCACAGAAAGACTGGCATTGCCTCCCGAGTTGTGACAAACACACCAGTGTAACACAAGATGCCCACGGTGGGGAGATTGTGTGAGGGGTTCCTCGGGAACTCTCTATATTGTCTTTGCTGCTTTGTGGTCAATCTACAACTATTCCAAAATAAAAAGTTTATTTAAAGGAAAATACTCTATCTAGTCTACCAGTTATAACTAGAAGGTTTTTTGATAAAGGGAAGACTGGGGGATGACTGTGCCCCCTTGCTGCCAGTGGCCTGTCCAATGGTCTCCCCCAATCCCACCTCCTAGTACTCAACACGGAGGAGTCAGTCCTTACTTCTTACTTAAAAGACCTTTAGAAGCACTACTGCTGGGCACTGGAGATAAAACATATCCACCTTAATAACAACAATAAATCACTTATGTAACACCTCACTCTGTGCCAGGCACTAGTCCAAGAGCACCTGACCTGGATTAATTCATTTAATCCTCAAAACAATACTAAGAAATAAGTACTGTTGATGGCCACACACGTTGGCCATTAGCAGGTTTCTATTAACTCCATATTTGATTCTGGAACTATTAATTGAAAGCAAGACACATGGAGGGAAACTGCCAGTAAGCTAGTAAGCCAGGTGTAGTCAAGGGTTGAATCCAACAGCTGGGATCCAGAGTCTGTGCTCTTAACCATTACTGTTTCCTTGGTAAAAACATAGCCCGTATAGGGCAAGAGCTGAAATACAAGCAGAGTGGATAAAGTAATCTAAGAGAATGTGGTCAGATCCCAAGAAAGACTTCCTGTATGCAAGAGTAGCCTGTACTAGGGATGCAGTATACAATAAACCTAATTAATACCACCATATGTTGTATGGTCTTACTGTTACATGATTAAATACTGAGAGTTCTCATCACAAGGAAAACAGGATGTATTTTTTCCTATTTCTTCAGTTCTGTATGTGTAGGAGATAATAGATGTTCACTACACTTACTAATCAATTTATGAGGTATGGTCAATCAAATCACTATGCTGTATGCCTTAAGCTTACACAGTGCTACAAGTCAATCATATCCCAATAAATCTGGAAGAAAAAAGAAAGAGCACCTGAACTTGAAGGAAGAAAGAAAAAAGAGCCTACATGTCTTCATTCTCAGATAACTCTCAAGATCAAGGTCCCCTGCCTTCTCTGATCTTGATTCAGTCTCATAAGCACCCGGAAAAGCTCAACTCCAGGTATAATGTCCTGCTGTGGATGAACGGAGGTGGATAAAGGACGGGTTTCTACAGCACAGGAAAGACCCACAACCACTTGGGCTGGGAGGGTCCAGCGCACCAGGAGGGGATGACCAGGAAGTCCCATCTCTTTGAGCAATGCATTACAGATCTTCCTATTTCTGGCAGACCTGCACGACTGATGGTGGGTGGGGAGGGAGCTGAGGTAGAGGACAATCTGAAAGGGAGTCTAGATGGCGGGGAGTGGAAGGAATGCTGAGGATAAGCGTTGAGGGTAGGTGGGCAGGAGACACAGAAAAGATAAGCCTGAGAGCGATAACTGACTCCCTGAACCAAGATGGGGCTGAGCGTCCATGTTGTGAATTGGAAAGGGCGGGGATGGCTGGGAATTACCTTGGAGGAGGTAAAGGAGACACAAGGATGGGCTTTTAACAAGTGTTGGATGGTCTAGCGTCTGGGGTTCCTGCCAGGGGGGTTGGAAGGGGTGACACCGGGTCCCAGGGTTCCTTCCTGCTCACAATAAGAGGTTGAGCGGGCATGTATGAAGTGGGATCTCAGTTTCACAGGAGTCGACTTATTTGATTCTCACAAATGACCCCACCAGGTAGAGTTGATTATTCTCCGCGTTTTACAGATAGCCCCCTATCTAGGCTGCTAGAGAATTCAGATCATTTGCCCAAGGCCACCTTCGCCGGCCTGTGATTTGAATGGAGCGCGCTCTGTAACTCACGCCAGGTTCTAAGCCACAGGAAAGGTTCTCAGAGTGGGACGGCAGTTGAAGGATGAAGAGAGGAGCATGTGGCTGGCCGGAAATTCATGAAGCAGGGGAACGCAAAGGAGAAATGAATTGGCGCGAGTGTCGGGGAAGAGGGGTTACCGAGTCACCAGAATCAGAGGGAGCAGAGGACCGGACCCCAGAGTCAGAGAGAAGGGTGGGCTGGAACCCCCGGAGTAGGGAGAAGAGCGGGGCTAGATCCATGGGTCAGAAGAAGGAGAGGCCTGAATCCCCGGGATCCGATCCCCAAGGGCAGAGGTGCAGACCCGCCTCCGGGATGGGGCCACGCGGGGCGGGGCGCGGAAGGATCCGCGCAGGCAGTGCTGCGCCGTACGCGGTATATCTGAGCCCAGTCCCGGGGGCCGCCTCATTCCCCATCCTCAGATCACGGTCTTTCCTCACGCTACCGCCACGCCGCCTCCGCCCGCGTATCCCCGGCCATGGCTCTGTAGCCGCGACCCCTCTGTGCCCCCGGCCAGTCTCCGCGCTCACCGCGCCTGCGCTCTCCGCTCCTGCCGTCTCTCTTCAGCCGAGGCCGCCGCCGCCTCTTCTTTGCGCAGCCATGGAGTGAGTAACCGCTCGCCCCTCCCTCTCCAACCGCCTTTCCCGCCCTTTCGAAGCTCGCGGCCCTCGCGACCGAGCCTGGGGGTGGGGGGGTGGGGAGACTGAGGAATCACGGTCGCGCAGGCGCAGAAGAGGGAAAACGAGCGTTCTCGCGCGACGGAGCATGCGCACTCAGGCGGGTGCGTTCTTCCAGACAATTGGTGTTTAAAGAAGATAGCCCACGTGCGTGTGCGCCTGCGCACTAGTTCCCAGACACGGTGGCCTCCCGTCCCGGCTCGACCGTCTGCGAGCGATTGCTTTGCGCAGCTTCCCACCTGAGGCTGTATTTTTGCGCAAAGGGCGGGCATTAAGCAGTTGCACGGGCACACCGGTCCCCATGAGGGCGGTGGCCTGAGGGAGCTATGGCGCGGCTCCGGAGGTGGCGCATGCGCTGTAGCCTTCAGCGAGAGCGCCGCCTCCCACTTTGCTCAGGCGCCGAGCTCATCATCTCTCCCTTTCATTTAGGCACGTGCTGGGGCGGGGACTGGTTTAGATTGACAGGGGAGAAGGCGGGCATTAGAAACGACCGGTTTAGGGGGCGGAGCTAGGGTAAGAGGCGTCGCCGAGGACGGGGTTGGGGCGGGGTTACCCATTGTGAAGGGGCGGGGCTAACAAAGGCTTTTGCTGAGGGGGGTGGGGTTTCTGCCTGAGAAAGAGGCGGGGCCTCTGGGGAATTATCAGGGAGAGGTGGAGCTGAAATAAACTGTGGGGGCGGGACTTCGAGAGACTGGCAAGCAGCCCCAAAATTCAAAGGGAGGACTGCGATTTGAACGAATAACTTTGGCGACCGGGCGGGACAAGGGGGAATTCCCATGGGAACAGATTTGAGCTGGAATCTAGGGAGGGTGTGGGGCCTAAAAGTTATATTTTAGAGGAAGAGGTGTGACTGGAAGAAAATTCCCTAGGGATTGAGCGTGTTTTTTTTTTTTTTTTTAATGAAAGGGAATATTATAGGGTGAGGGGGAAGGACTTTAAGGAAATTCCCTTGGGAGACCATTAGGTTTCTGTATTGGAAGGATTGGGTCTTGGGAATTCTGAGAAATAAGCCAAATACAGAGAATTCCCTTGGGAGTGGGTGGGGCTCAGATGCGGGGAAAGGACAGTTTTAGAATTCTGAAAGGGTCTGGGGGTGGGGGTGGCTTGGTTTCCCTGTGCCTTTGGCAACAGTAGGTGAGGCTGATCCTGACCCACTCACTTTCGGTGTCACACTTGTAGGTCCTCCACTTTTGCCTTGGTGCCTGTCTTCGCCCAGCTGAGCAACTGCCAGAGCCTCCTGTCAGCCGTTGGTGCAGCCTCTTCCATTGCCATCGGGGCCCCGCGCCCGTGCTGCAGCCATGTCACTCCTGGCGACCCTGGGGCTGGAGCTGGACAGGACCCTGCTCCCAGCTAGCGGGCTGGGCTGGCTCGTAGACTATGGGAAACTCCCCCTGGCTCCTGCCCCCCTGGGCCCCTATGAGGTCCTTGGGGGAGCCCTGGAGGGCGGGCTTCCAGGGGGGGGAGAGCCCCTGGCAGGTAAGAGCAGGTAAAGAATGGAGCTGGGGTGAGCTGGCGGGAGAGGGGAGAAGAAAGAATTCATTCATTTGATAAATATTTAATGAGTACCTATAATAGGGCTTCCCCAATGACCTGACTTGACCTGGCTCAGCAGGTCAAGAATCTGCGTGCAAGTCAGGAGACACAGGAGACATAGGTTGAATCCCTGGGTTGGGAAGAAACCCTGATGGAGGTAGTGGCAACCCACTCCAGTATTCTTGCCTGGAAAATCCCATGGATAGAGGAGCCTGGTGGGCTACAGTATATGGGGTCACAAAAAGTTGGACATGGCTGAACAACTAAGCAACAACAGCAGCATAATATGTCAGGCACTGTTTTAGGGGATACAGCTGGGAACAAGACTGACATGATCCCTGCCTTCTTGGAGCGCGCACACTTACTGGGGAGATATGCAAGAGACAGATTAAATGATGCATGGGAATAAGTGGGAAACACTTAGCTGAGTTTAAAAATGGCAATGAGGAAAAAAATAAAAATGACGAGGACAAGTTTGGCGGGGGGAGCCAAGAAACTCTCCCAGTCAGTAATATTTTGGCTGAGACCTAAGGAGTGGTAAGGAATGACCTGTAAAAAGACTCAAGGGGAGAGCTTTTCAGGTGCAGGAAACAGCACAAGCAGAGCCCCTGAAGCAGGAATTATTTCATTCATTGCGGACATCGGTGCTAAGTCACCAAGTCGTGTCTGACTCATTGCCCTATGCCCACCGGGCTCCTCTCTCTGTCCATGGTATTCTCCAGGCGAGAATACTGGAGTTGGTTGCCATGCCCTCCTCCAGGAGATATTCATGACCCTGGGATGGAACCTGCATCTCTTACATTTCCCGCGTTGGCAGGTGGGTTCTTAACTTCTAGCACCACCTGGGAAGCCCATTTTATTCATTGGTGGTGGTTTAGTTGCTAAGCTGTGTCTGACTCTTGTGACCCCATGAACTGTAGCCCACCAGGCTCCTCTGTCCATGGGATTTCCCAGGCAAGAATACTGGAGCAGTTTGCCATTTCCTCCTCCAGGGGATCTTCCCAACCCAGGAATCAAACCTGGGTCTCCTGCATTGCAGGCAGATTCTTCACCAACTGAGCTATGAGGGAAGTGTATCCCAAATGCTTGGTGCATAGTGGGATTGCAGTAGTTAAAGATGAAACAGGGTGTGTTTACATGTGATCTAGTTTGCCATTTATGAATAAACCAGAGAGTAAATCAAGAAACCAGAGATGCAGGGTAATCAGTAAGGAGGATGCTGGAACAGTTGAAGAAATGGCTGGTTGACTGTCTTGTCATTTGGGTCATTGATGGTTGGTTGGTTAACAGGTTGGTTAGATGTTTGGTTTATTGGTTGGTTGGTTGGTTGGCTGATCTGTTGACTGGTTTGATGATTTGTTGATTGGTTGGTTGACTGGCCGGCTGGCTGGGGGTTTAACTCAATGAATGGGATGAATGAGTTGGGCATGACTTGAGATCTGGTTGGGTGGAGGATTAGGAAATCAAGTTTTCTGTCCCTCTGCAATCCTCCAGGAGATGGCTTCTCTGACTGGATGACCGAACGGGTCGACTTTACGGCCCTGCTCCCTCTGGAGCCCCCCATGCCCTCAGGTGCCCTCCCCCCACCTTCCCCACCCCCACCTGACCTGGAAGCTATGGCTTCCCTGCTCAAGAAGGAGCTGGAGCAGATGGAAGACTACTTCCTCGATGCCCCTCTGCTCCCACCATCCTCCCCACCTCCGCCGCCGCCCCCGCCCCCGCCGGCACCTTCCCTCCCTCTCCCCCTCCCCCTGCCCACCTTTGACCTCCCCCAGCCCCCTGCCCTGGACACCCTCGACTTGCTGGCCATCTACTGCCGCGGGGAGGCCGGGCAGGGGGACTCGGGGTTGGCGCCCCTGCCCCCACCTCCGCAAGCCCCGCCCCCGCCCCCACCCCGGCCCGCCCCCTACCCCAGTCCTGCCGCCTGCCGAGGGGACCGCAAGCAAAAGAAGCGAGACCAGAACAAGTCCGCGGCTCTGAGGTACCGCCAGAGGAAGCGTGCAGAGGGCGAGGCCCTGGAGGGCGAATGCCAGGGGCTGGAGGCACGGAACCGGGAGCTGAGGGAGAGGGCGGAGTCGGTGGAGCGGGAGATCCAGTATGTCAAGGATCTGCTTATCGAAGTGTATAAGGCTCGGAGCCAGAGGACCAGGAACAGCTAGCCGGGCCGGGGCTTCGGGCTGTAGGGGGCGCTGGTCTTCGGCACCGGGGCGGAGCGGGGAGGGTCCCCAGTCATCCCCCTGCCTCCCGCTTCCTTCCAAACCCTCCCTCCCCCTCGTCTCCCTCGCTCCCCCTCCCCTTTTATTCTTGCCTTCCCTTCCCGCCCCCCCGCCCCCCCAGTCATGAGACGTTTGGCGTGAGTCAGCATTTACACCGTTCGAGTAACATCTGAGGAACAGAGGCCCATGGGGAATTTGGGAGGCAGGGGAGAGCTTGGAAAACCGGTCTCTCAAGCAGGGAAGTGAGCCCAGGAAGCCCTGCAGAACGTCTGTGCAGAGGAGAACAGGGAAGCCATCTGGAGACCAAGTCAGGGAGGGCTCAAAGAAAGGTGCCCAAGGAATGAGCAAAACAAGCCAAGTGACCTTGGGAGCTGCTTCGGAGGTGGAACCAAGAGGTAGCCGGCTTGGCAGAGCAGGTGCATATTTGGGCGGTCTGGGGGAGTGGCCACAATGGGTGACGGGGTGTATGTTTTAGCTCTGGGAGGAAATCAGTGTTTTGTGAAGGTGTTGGGGGAGGTACGGGAGGGCAGGGACTGATCATTTTGGAAGGGGGCTTTGTGAGTGGAAATAAAAGGAAGAATTTCCTCTGATTATGTGCGTCTTGTCTTTGAAAGGAGAAGCTGGGGGGAGGGCAGTCTTACACCAAAGACAATAATGATAATAATGAAAACAACATAATCCTTACAGTCAAGCACACACTTTCTACACAGGGTCAAAGCCAAGATGAGACTGAACTGGTAGAGATACAAGACCCGCTTTTAACTTCCATTTAGTACACAGACAGTGAAAGAAAGAATAGCCAAAGGTGCCAGCTCCCCATGGTCCTTGTCACCAAAAAGGGTGATGCCAAAGGGGCCGGGTGGCTGGAGCACAGTTGTGGGGCATTGGGTGTTGAAGAGCAATCGCGCTGTGCTGTCAGAGCCAAGATTCCAGGGGAAGCCAGGAGGTAAGTGGGCAGTGACCTAGTAGTGGAGAGTCGGATCTAGGTGCTAACACTCTCCATGATAATCTTTATGAGCTGGAAAAAAAATTCGTGCAGATGGGCACCCGTTACAGAGATAGGAATCAATTTAAAGGGTTCTGACCGGTGTTTAAAGATACGAATAGAACAGTAGAAAATACCACTATGTTGATTTAATATCTTACTTTGCATCACAGTAAGAAAAGTTTGGAAGCCACTGGTAGACGGCAGCCAGCATCATACAGTGATTTTTAGACACTGTCCACTAATACAACCGCTATCAACTCACTTGGAGAAGCCCGATCCTGCTCCGTCCAAAGTTTCCTGCCTCTCGGCGGCTCTGTCTTAGCAGGACTCTACCGCCAGGGGGCGCCCGTGTCCCGACGTGAATGAGTTATCCTCTTTTTTTCTAAACCTTTTTTTTTTTTCATTTATTTTTATTAGTTGGAGGCTAATTACTTCACAACATTGCAGTGGGTTTTGTCATACATTGATATCCTCTATTCTCTACTCGGTCCAAGCACGTGATCTTGGGGTTCCCTCTTGCCCTGAGGGTCGGGTTTACTGGGACTGGAAGCCCTGACCACGAATAGAATTCCCCGAACAGAGGACGGCAGGAGGGCGCAGGCGGTCATGAAGGGATGTGGCCATTCTAAGATACCCCCTTATCTGTTCATTCCACAATGTTCATTAAATGCCTCCGTGCACCTCCCAGAGCGCATATTCGGTGGGGGAGAACGGACAAGACCTCAAATTCACCACCGCGCCTGTCCAGGGAGACCTCCTCACCTAGACGTGTGAGACAACCCGCGTGGAGTCCTGCTGGCTTGGAGTCCTTGGGCAGCTTGCATAGCCTCCCTGTGCCTCAGTTTCCTCTGCTCTAAAATGGGCCTAATAACACCTGCTTCATAGGGCTATCATGAATATTAAATGAATTAATATTTGTAAATTACTTTGAAGGATCTGGTATATTTGTTAAATCAATTGCTAAAAATTCCCATTTTACAGAAAAGAAAACAGGATCAGAGTAGGGAAGTAAAGCACCAAAGCAATATTTTTCTCCTAAGGAGAACTCTTGAGCCCAGTGATCCCCAATTCCCAGCCCAGAGGCTTTTCCTTGGCATTGCACTTGGGGTGGAAGTAAACCCCGTTTCCTTGGCATAGTGGCGGGGTGGGGGGTGGTGTGGGTGCTGAAGCCAGTGAAATACTCTAGCAGAGCCCAGGGCTCAACAACACAACAATCAGTGTTGGAATCACGACTGAAACTAGTGTGGGGCCCTGTCTCTGGGTCAGCAGAATAGCCAGACAAGTAAATAAATCATTTTCTTACCATCAGCGACATCCACACTGCAGTATAGATGTACAAGGAGAGGCAAGTGAGCTGGTCAATAAGATTCACGGAGTTGCCTCTCCAGTGCTGAATTGTGATGACTGTGAAGTAAGGTTGGGCATGGCATTAGCCCGCATTCAGGAGAAGGGGATCTAACAGGGCCAGAAGGTGCAAGCTAATTACGTGACCAGGTCCCAAGATAGCTGTGTCACCCATACCTGCTGCTCCATGGTCTTGCCCTGAATGTCCAACCACGTTCAAGTTCCGCTTGGAGCTCCCTGTGACCGTCCTGGGCTTCACAGGTGGCTCAGTTCAGTTCAGTTGCTGTTGTGTCTGACTCTTTGCGACCCCATGGACTGCATTACACCAGGCTTCCCTGTCCATCACCAACTCCCGGAGCTTGCTCAAACTCACGTCCATCAACTTGGTGATGCCATCCAACTATCTCATCCTCTGTCGTCCCCTTCTCCTCCTGCCTTCAGTCTTTCCCAGCATCAGGGTCTTTTCCAAGGAGTCAGTTTTTTGCATCAGATGGCCAAAGTATTGGAGTTTCAGCTTCAGCATTAGTCCTTCCAATGAATATTCAGGACTGATGTCCTTTAGGATGGACTGGTTGGATCTCCTTGCAGTCCAAGGGACTCTCAAGAGTCTTCTCCAACACCACAGTTCAAAAGCATCAATTCTTCAGTGCTCAGCTTTTTTTATAGCCCAACTCTCACATCCATACATGACTCATACACGACCCAGGTGGCTCAGTGGTAAAGAAATCCACCTGCCAGTGCAGGAAGAAAAAAGTTATGGCTACCAAAGAAGAAAGCAGGAAGAGGGATAAATTAGGAGTTTGGAATTAACAGATACAAACTGCTATATATAAAATAGGCAAAAGAAAGGAACCTACTGGATATAGCTCAGGACCTACTGCTCAATATTCTGTAATAACCTATAATGGGAAAGAATCTGAAAAGGAACATATATATGTATATATTTAACTGAATCACTTTGCCGTACACCAGAGACTAAAACATTGTAAATCAACTGTACTCCATTTTTAAAAAAATCCGTAATGTACAATTTACGATTTTAACCATCTTAAAGTGTGTAATTCAGTGGCATTTGTCACATTAATAATGTGGCACAACCATCACCACTATCTCATTCCAGAACTTTTTCATCCCTTCCCCCACCCCCAAACAGGAACCCTAAACTGGTTAAACAGTCACCCCCAAATCTGCTCTCCCCTCAGCTCCTGGAAACCACTAATCTGCTTTCTGCCCCTATGACTTTGCCCAGTTTGAACACTTCATATAAAGGGAGTCATGCAATATTTATGTGCAAGAACAGAGCCCTCAAAGGTATCCAGATCCTAATCTTTGGAAACCTGTGGGTGGTCATTTCTGTGGTAGAAAGGGACCCTGCTGATATGGTTAAGCATGTTGAGATGGGGTAATTATCGGGGATTCCCTGAGTTGGCCCTAAATGTAACCACAAGGATTTTCGTAAGAGAGAGGCAGAGGGAGATTTGAGCACAGAAGAGAAGGAAGTGTGATGGAAAAGCAGATGAAAGCAGAGTCAGGCAGAGGAAGTGCTATGCCATTGGCTTTGCAGATGGCGGAAGGGGCCCAGGAGGCAGGAGGATGCGTTCTCCCCTGGAACCACTCAAGGGAGCAGGGCTTCAATTTCAACTCAAAACAACACAAATACATTCTCTTACGGTTCTGGAGTCCAAAAGTCCAAAGGGAGTCTCAGGGGGATAGAATCAAGGTGTTGGCAGAGGTTGTTTCTTCCAGAGGATCTTAAGGTGAATCTCTTCCTTGCTTTTTGCAGGTTTGGGTGGTGGTCTCACTTGTTTAGTCACTCAGTTAAGTGTGACTCTTTCGCGATCCCCTGGACAGCAGTCCCTCAGGCTCCTCTGTCCATGGTACTTCCCAGGGAGACACCAGGGAAGCCCTGAAGGTATCACTACAATCTCTTGTATCACCGTCTACTCCTTTCCCCCTGCTGTGGTCCGAGCTCCCTCTACCTCTCTCTCATAAACCTGTGATCACAGTGAGGGTCCACCTGGGGAATCTCTCCATCCCAAGATCCTGAATGTGATCACCACTGCAAAGGCCTTTTGTCCTGCAAGGTAACCTAGTCACAGGTTCCAGGGATTAAGACGGGGACGACTCTGGGGGCCGCTCTTCAGCTGATCAGAGACACTGTCTTTTAGAATCCTCCACCTGGGATGGGACTTAAGAAGTGGCCAACTCGGACAGCGTTTATACTTTTCAGGCAAAGAAACAATAAATCTGTGAGGAATTGACAGGATAAAGAGGCACTGGGGGCCCGGTTAGTGAGACTCTAAAAAGAATTTAGTCTTGTGACTGGAAATTAAAGCAGTAACCCAAGGTTTCCCAAGGTTGGTTTGGGCTTCCCTGGTGGCTTAGATGGTCAAGAATCAGCCTGCAATGTGGGAGACCTAGGTTTGATCCTGGAGTTGGGAAGATCCCCTGGAGGAGGGCATGGCAACCCACTGCAGTATTCTTGCCTGGAGAATCCCATGGACAGAGCAGCCTGGCGCGCTGCGGTCTGTGGGGTCGCAGAGAGTTGGACACGTCTGTGACAAAGCACAGGAAGCTTTCTTTATTCAGGGTTCTCGGCTTGATTCCCTATGTCTGTTGATAAGGGCGTCCTCCTTCCAGGTGTGGGGAGGGTACCTTTCACAGGAGAGATTTATTTCCTGCTTTCAGAGAGAAAGAAAGAGGGGTCAGAGTGTCTTATGTTCGCCACTTTTTTCTTCTTTTTTAAAAAACATTTATTTTTGGCTGCATCAGGTCTTAGCTGCACGGGCTTCTCCCTAGCTGAGGCTTGTGGGTTTAGTTGGGCCATGGCATGTGGGATCTTAATTCCCTGACCAGGGGTCGAACCCACGTCTCCTGCACTGGAAGGTGGATTCTTAACCCCTGGACCACCAGGGAAGTCCTGAAGCATATTTTGAGATGGCCCGTCCTGGGTCCCAAACACACTTGCAGACACGTGCAAGAGCTTACAGACACACACATCTGGGGTACACTCTCCACCCTACTATTTCTCCCGAGATGGGTAGAACCCTATATCCAGGCAGCCAGACCTAGTTTTCAGGCAAAGGAGACCCAGAGGCAATGACGTCTCCCGCAGCAGAGAAAGAATAGAGTTCCTGACTTGGAGTGACACCTGGGTCCTGAGCACTCACTAAGTGCCCGGGCCCTGTGGCCCTGGGTCTCCTTGGAATCCTGCCAGCAGCTGACCTCCCCGCTCCCAGTCTTTCTGGCCATCTATTGGACAAGCAATGAACAGTCTACTTGATTTGAAAGAAGGGAAGTGTTCTGGGCCCATTTTGCAAGTCAGCAGAAGTCGGAAAACTGACTCAAAATAAGAAAGCAGAGACAGAGGTCCTGGTGCTCCTTCTCCTGAGAGCCTGTCCCCCGAGGGCTGCTCTCCACGGCCCCCAGCCCGGGGTGCAGATGATACAGTAGCAACGGCAAGAAGAAGGACACACAGCTTGGTGCCAGTGGGGACCATTCAGTTAAAGTGATGTCGTCTCCTGTTTGAGAAACCACGCAGCAGGGAAGTAAAGTGAGGAACTGGTTATAGATGAACAGGAACTGCGCATTTCTCTGTGCATTTTCCCTGTTTCCTTCTATGTACTTGTAATAAGCTCAGCAGTTTTCCTGGTCAGCAACTTTCCATCCTACACAAGCTCTGGGCTCTGTGAGAGCCGACAACCGTGGGGCGGGGTGCAGGGGTGCGCCTGAGATTGTGAGTTCTGGTCCCCAGGTTGGACAGACCCTTACAGGTGGCCACTGTCGCCCCCACTTAGGGAAACCATGGCGTTTTGCACCACAGTCTGAGGAGGGAAACAGACTGTTCTGGGGATCCCCCTAAACCACTCTGAAGTGTGATGAGTCACTGGAAGGACTTAAAAGAATTCAGAGAAATTGTCATACTGATGGTTTGTTACAACAGAAGGATACAGATAAAAATCTGCATACCTGGGAATCTCCTAGTGGTCCAGTGTTTAGGACTTAGCATGTTCATTGCCCAGGCTCCGATTTTGATTCCTGGTGGAGGAACTACAATCTTGCAAGCCATGTGGTGCAGCCAAAGGGAAAAATAGAGTAGAACGTTGTTGTTGTTGTTTAGTCACTAAGTCCTGTCTGACTCTTTTTGTGACCCACACCCCCATGGACTGTAGCCCGCCAGGCTCCTCTGTCCATGGGATTTCCCAGGCAAGAGTACTGAAGTGGATTGCCATTTTCTTCTCCAGGGGATCTTCCCAGCCCAGGGACAGAAGCCAGTACCCTGCATTGGCAGGTGGATTATTTACCACTGAGCCACCTGGGAAGCCCATAGACTAGGAGAGAACAGAAAATAGAATAGAATAAAATCTGCAAAGGAAAACCTGCCCGAGGCAGTATTGAGGGGAGATCGGCCACACGCTTCTGGTGGGCTCTTCCACTGTGGACAGTGCTTGACTTTCCCAGGGCTATGGCCTGAATCATGTCCCCTCCAGTTCATATGCTGAAGCCCTAACTCCCACACGTGACTATAGTTGGAGAGGAAGGCAAGGGAGCAAGGGTACTGAGGTCCTAAGGGTGGGATCCTTATACAATAGGATTAGTGTCCTTACAGGAAGAAACGTGAGGGTTCTGTCTCTCTGTCTCTGCCACGTGAGGGGACAGGGAGGAGGCAGTCATCTCCCACTCAGGAAGCAGGCCCTCGCCAGGCACCTTGGTCTTCATCTTGGACTTGTGGCCTCCAGGACTGTGAGATAGAACGTTTCTGATTTCTCTCATTTTCCCTCCATTTATGTTGTACAAGCTGCCCAGAGTCTGCAATATTGTGCCTGGTGTGATTAGTCGCTCAGTCGTGTCTGACGCTTTGTGACCCCATGGACTGCAGCCCACCAGGCTCCTCTGTCCATGGGATTCTCCAGTCAAGAATCCTGGAGTGGGTTGCCATGCCCTGCTCCAGGGGCTCCTTCCAACCCAGGGTTCAAACCCAGGTCTCCTGTATTGCAGGCAGATTCTTCACTGTCTGAGCCTCCAGGGAAGCCCAAGAATACTGGAGTGGGTTGCCTATCCCTTGTCTGGAGGATCTTCCCGACCCAGGAGTTGAACCAGGTTCTTCTGCATTGCAGGCAGATTCTTTCAGCTGAGTGGTATGTTACGGCAACTCAAAGCAGACCAACACACCCAGCGACGACATGTGATAACACAGATGGAGCATAGACCTTGGAGTCCAGTGTTTTTACCGGGGGCCTGTTATAGGTTTGTGTCCCCCCCAACAAAAGATATTCAAGTCCCAACCCCCAGTCTCTGTGAATGGGACCTTTTTGGAAACAAGGTCTTTGCATGTGATCAAGTTAGGTGAAGTCATGGGGGGGCGGCTGGACCCTAAGCTAATACAAGGGCTTCCCAGGTGGTGCTAGTGGTAAAGAACTCACCTGCCAATGCAGGAGATGTAAGAGATTCCGGTTTGATCCCTGGATCAGGGAGATCCCCTAGAGGAGGGTATGGCAACCCACTCCAATATTCTTCCCTGGAGAATCCCCACAGACAGAGGAGCCTGGCGGGTTACAGTCCACAGGGTCGCAAAGAATCAGACACGACTGAAGCAACTTAGCACGAATGCATGCAATCCAACGTGATTGGTAGGTATTCTTATTTAAAAAAAAAAAAAGGAAATGTGGACACCGAGACACGCATGCCAAGGGCTTAGCATTCCCTCCCAGTTGCTGGGCAAAGCCCACACCTCTCTTTGGATGAGATTAATTCTTTTTTTTTTTCCTGGCCATCTTAGTTCCCAGACCAGGGATTAAGCCCAAACCCCCTGTAGTGGAAGCATGGAGTCTTAACCTCTGGACTGCCAGGGAAATCCCGAGGTTAATTCTACATGCATTACCAGTCACTTGGGGAGCTGGGTTGGATGCCAGCAGAGTGGCCTTAGATATGCATCCTTCGTTGCTATTTTGTTCTGACCTTCAGGAGAGGGATGGATGCTTATCAACTCAGCCTCTGGGCAGTGCTGACCACGCTCTCCTGTTACGGCGGGTCTCAGTCTGGAAGCTTCTCACCGGAGATGCCTAAATCTTTTGCAGGCCCCTGAGCAAAATGAAAATGTGTGGCCCCTTTGACAAAAAAAACAAAAAGTAGGAAAAACCTTTTTCCTTTTTTCCTGAACATTAAAAAAAAAAATTGATGTGGGATTTCCCTGGCAGTCCAGTGGTTAAGACACAGAGCTTCCACTGCAGGGGGCACAGGTTCAATCCCTGGTCAGGGAACTAAGATCCCACAAGCCATGCAGTGTGGCCAAATTAAAAAAAAAAATCGTTGTAAAATGTCCATCACGTAAAATTTACCATTTTAACCATTTTAAAGTATACAATTCCGTGACATAAAGTACTCTCACAATGGTGTGCCACCCTCCCCACCATCCGGTGCCAGAACTTTTACATCTCTCCCAAAGGACACCCCTACCCATCAACAGTCACAGCACAGCCCCAGGCAACCAGTAGTCTACTTTAAAATATAGGCTCCTTCCGAGCATGTGGCCCTGTGCAAATATATATATGTTATAATAATAATAATAATAAATTACAATGTATATATATTAATGTATTTATCTGGCTGAGCCAGTTCTTAGTTCTTTGATCTTCACTGCGGCATGCCAACTCTTAATTGCAGCACGTGGGACCTAGTTCCCCAACCAGACTATGGATTGAATCCCTTGCAATGGGAGCCCAGAGTCTTAGCCACTGAACCACCTCGGAAGTCCCTCTTCACAGTGTTTTTAATTTACTAGCTAATGTCCAATTGCCCAGGTTTGACTGCGGGTTTGGGGGGGGGGGCGGTGAGCAGTGTAGACTCTCACAGGCTCTCAACGCAGCATATTCCAGACTCTCTCTATGCCCAAGGAGGGGGATGGAGGTGGGAAGGGGGCTGAGAACCTGTCCCTTGATCTAGGCTGTCCCTGGGTCAGCCTGGTGTGATCCAAGCTTCCAGTTCCCCAGGTGTGTGCTCCTTATCCCATGAGATTTCACTTACAGAACACAAAGTCCAAGATCAAAATTATTAGGAATTTCAAGATGACCACCTTAGAGCATCAAACCTCAATCAGGAAGCCCTTCGGAGCATGGGGCCCTGGGTAAACATTTCACTTCTTACTGTGGAGCTGGAGGCCTTGTGTGGACACAGACATGTCCCCAGGACAGGCAGGGAGGTTGTGTCCTTTGGGGATCCTGGGTTTGGGGTCATGCAAACAGTGAGGCAGGATTTGTGAGGTCTTGCCTTCCTCTGCCCTCAACTCCTTCATGGAGTCGACATTTGCCTGGCAAATGAATGAATGACTGAATCCCTGCCTCTGGAGCCCCTCCCCACCCATTTCCCTTGAGAGCCCCACTGGCCCGAGGCTGACCCGGGGTGGCTGCGTCCTGCATTAGACCTGCCCTGCAACGTCCAAGCATGAAAGGAGAAGTCAGAAGAGATGTTTTCCAGACATCGGCAGCTCCGAGCTTCCTCTTTTGCTCATTTGTGGATAGTCACATTCCCCTTCCTGTTGGAGCTTCCTTCACGGACAGACAGGCAGGTCCAGAAACTGGACGGCCCTGGGAACTCCTGGCCCCTCGAACATGGAGAGGCTGTTGCTGCTGCTGCTGCTGCCCCTGCTGTGGGCGGGTGAGTGGGCCGTGGGGAGAGCGGGTCCCAGGCTGGGGCTGGGGCTGGGGCTGGAGCTGAGCCTCTGTGTTCCCCCAGGGCCCCTGCAGAAGGAGTCACTATACCAGCTGCAAGTGCAGGGGTCGGTGACGGTGCAGGAGGGTCTGTGCGTCTCCGTGCCCTGTAACATCTCCTACCCCCGGCTTGACTCGACCGACTCCACACGTGTTTACGGGGCATGGTTCCGGAAAGAGGATAGACTCCAAGAGGACATTCTTATGGCCACAGACAGCTCAACCCGGGGTGGAAAGAAGAAGAAAAATAGCCCATTCCACCTCCTCGGGGACCCCAGGGCCAACAACTGCTCCCTGGGCATTGCAGATGCCCGCAAGGGGGACAGTGGAAACTATTATTTTCAGCTGGGAGGAGAAGCTGCAGAACACAGTTACAAGAATAACCAGCTCACTGTGAATGTGGTCGGTACGGAAGGGTCCCTAGGAGCAGAGGTCAGGGAGGGTGGGAAGGATGGACCCCATGGCCCTCCATCTCTGAAGGCGGTGGGGGACAGTGGCCCACAGTCAGATCCGGGTGGGCACACACAGGGGTCCCCCTTGGGGTCTGGCCTCTCCGTCTCTCCTTTCCAGCGCTAACATGGACTCCCGATGTCCACATCAAGGAGCCCCTGGAGTCCGGCTCCAGCAGCCACCTCAAGTGCTCCCTGCCTGAGACCTGTGCCTGGGCCACGCCCCCCACCATCTCCTGGACCGGGGCTGCCCTCAGACCCCCGGGACTGGACTCCAAGGAGGCCTATAACTCCCCGGAGATCCTGCTCACCCCCCGCCCGCAGGATCACGGCACGAGCCTCACCTGTCGGGTGACCTTCCGCAGGGCTTCTGTGAGCGCAGAGAGGACTGTCACGCTCAACGTGTCCTGTGAGCACTGGGCCAGGCCCGCGGGGTGCCTGCGGGGCTGGGAATGGGCGCTGGTGACCCCAGGCCAGGGGCTGAGGGGTTCCTGTTCCGCTTTGCTTCCGGTTCTGTGCCTCCGGGAAGTTTGTGGGGCCCTGAGAAGGGGGCCGGGGCAGGGGCAGCTCTGACTCCCTTCCTCACTGCGGCGTCTCTGCCCCCCAGATCCCCCCCAGAAGCTGACCATCAGCGTCTCCGGAGGAATTGGCACAGGTATGAAGGGAGGGCCGTGGAGCATGGCAGGGATCGCAGAGAAGGGAGAGCCCCCGATCATTCCCGATACACCGGATGAACCTCAGAAACATCACCTCGAGGGGAAGGAGCCCGATGTTTACACGCCACGTCCGGAAGACATAAATCTATAGAGACAGTCGTGGTCGCTTAGGGCTGGGATAATGGAAGGACTAGCGGAGATGGCTGAGGGGTGCGGAGTGTTTCGGAGGGGGTCGTGAAAATGTTCTAAAATTGACTGTGGTGATGGTTATCGAGTGACTTTCAAGTGGTATGTAAATGGAGTTGTACGGTTTGTGAATTATATCTCAATAAAGCTACTTAAACATGTGCTGCAATACTTGAACCATGAACTTCCAGATGTTCAAGCTGGTTTTAGAAAAGGCAGAGGAACCAGAGATCAAATTGCCAACATCCGCTGGATCATCGAAAAACCAAGAGAGTTCCAGAAAAACATCTATTTCTGCTTAATTGACTATGCCAAAGCCTTTGACTGTGTGAATCACAATAAACTGTGGAAAATTCTGAAAGAGATGGGAATACCAGACCACCTGACCTGCCTCTTGAGAAATCTGTAGGCAGGTCAGGAAGCAACAGTTAGAACTGGACATGGAACAACAGACTGGTTCCAAACTGGGAAAGGAGTACGTCAAGGCTGTATATTGTCACCCTGCTTATTTAACTTAAACACAGACTACATCATAAGAAACGCTGGGCTGGATGAAGCACAAGCTGGCATCAAGATTGCCGGGAGAAATATAAATAACCTCAGATATGCAGATGACACCACCCTTATGGCAGAAAGTGAAGAGGAACTAAAAAGCCTCTTTAAGAGGAGAGTGAAAAAGTTGGCTTAAAGCTCAACATTCAGAAAATGAAAATCATGGCATCTGGTCCCATCACTTCATGGGAAATAGATGGAGAAACAGTGGAAACAGTGTCAGACTTTATTTTTTTGGGCTCCAAAATCACTGCAGATGGTGATTGCAGCCACGAAATTAAAAGACACTTACTCCTTGGAAGGAAAGTTATGACCAACCTAGATAGCATATTAAAAAGCAGAGACATTACTTTGCCAACAAAGGTCCATCTGGTCAGGGCTATGGTTTTTCCAGTGATCATGTATGGATGTGAGAGTTGGACTGTGAAGAAAGCTGAGCACCGAAGAATTGATGCTTTTGAACTGTGGTGTTGGAGAAGACTCTTGAGAGTCCCTTGGACTGCAAGGAGATCCAACCAGTCCATCCTAAAGGAGATCAGTCCTGGGTGTTCATTGGAAGGACTGATGCTGAAGCTGAAACTCCAATACTTTGGCCACCTCACGCGAAGAGTTGACTCATTGGAAAAGACCCTGAGGCTGGGAGGGATTGGGGGCAGGAGGAGAAGGGGACGAAAGAGGATGAGATGGCTGGGTGGCATCACTGACTGGATGGACATGAGTTTGGGTAAACTCTGGGAGTTGGTGATGGACAGGGAGGACTGGTGTGCTGTGATTCATGGGGTCGCAAAGAGTCGGACACGACTGAGCGACTGAACTGAACTGAAAGCTGCTTAAAAAGCTACTTGTGGGATCTATTCGCAACTTGAAAAAATAAATAGGATAGAGAAATAGAAAACAGGGCTTCAGAGTCTGGGCTCAGCTCTCTGTGTGTCTGTCTCTGTCGGTCTGTCTCCCTCCCTCTCTCTGAGTGTGCCTCTGTTTCTCTCTCTCTCCAGAGCTGGAACACCTGGGGAACGGCTCATCTCTTCCTGTTCTGGAGGGAGACTCTCTGCGCCTGGTCTGTGACACCGACAGCAACCCCCCGGCCTCACTGAGCTGGTCCCGGGGGAGCCGGACCCTGAGCCCCTCACATCCTTCTAGCCCTGGGGTCCTGTACCTGCGCAGAGTGGAGTCGGGCCACGACGGCGAGCTCACCTGCCGAGCTCAGCACCCTCAGGGCTCCTTGTGGGTCTCCCTGCATCTCTCTGTGCAGAGTGAGCTGGGGGTGGGGCGGGGCGAGGAGAACACCCGGGAGAGGACACGCGGGTGCAGGGAGGGGACAGACACCACTGACTCTCCTCCCTCTCCGCAGCCCGCCCGCAGCTGCTGGGCCCCTCCTGCTCCCAGGAGGACGAGGGTCTGCGCTGCAGCTGCTCCTCCCGAGCTTGGCCGGCCCCCTCCCTGCGCTGGCGGCTCGGGGAGGGGCTGCTGGCGGGGGAGCTCAGCAACGCCTCCTTCGAGGTCAGCTCCAGCTCCGCCGGGCCCTGGGCCAACAGTTCCCTGAGCCTCCGCGAGGGGCTCAGCTCCAGCCTCAGCCTCAGCTGCGAGGCCCTGAACGTCCACGGGGCCCGGAGCGGGTCTGTCGTGTTGCTGCCAGGTCAGGGGTCTGTTGTGGGGGGAGAGGCTTAGAGGGGACGGGAGTCATCCTAGAGAAGATGACGTTTGGCGGGGAGAGGGGCCTGGGCGGGAGGGTTGAGAGGCAGGGGTGGGGGCAGAGAACTGTCCTTCAGCTGGCTGGGGGCTGAAGGGCAGGAGAGCTCAAACCCTATGGGAGGAGGGGGCATGTGAGTCCTGGTGGCTTGGAGGGGAGTCACCCTCAATCTTGCTCGTCTGCAGGGAAGCCCAGGATTGGAGGAGAATTTGTTCTGGGGGCCATCGGGGGAGCTGGTGCCGCTGGCCTGTTCAGTCTCTGTTCCTGCCTCATCTTCTTCACGTGAGTGTCATCTCTTGGGGGATGGTGAGTGCAGGGTGGGGAAGGGGACGGAGCCTTGGAATCCCTGGAGGGCCCCCTCTGGAGGAATCTTCACGGTATGGAGCTTTGGAGAAGCGGGTCATGGGGCAGGGAATCAGAGCAGGGTCTGCCCCCACCGTGCACCCCAGCCATCGGCGAAGGACGCCCGTTGTCACTATGAAGGTCCTGAGACAAGGTGCGTGCCCTGCCTCTTGGCCTTGGTCTGCCCTTCCAGCCTGTCCTTCTCTTAAGTTTTCCTATCTTTTGGCTGCTCCACGCAGCACATGGGATCTTAGTTCCCCGACCAGGAATCAAGCCTGCAGTGGAAGTGCCGAGTCTCAACCACCGGCCACTGGCCTGCCAGGGGAAGTTCCAGCCCCTTCTAGCCTCAAGTGGGGATGGGGAGGGGCTTGGAATGGGGGCAATGGCCGCCCTGCAAGCTCTGAGCCAGCTGGGCCGCTGAGAGGTCCTGGCTTCCCCTCTCAGACTGAAGACCTGCAGGAAGGCAGCCCGTGAGAAGGATGAAGCCGGCACACTGGGCCCCACCTCCCAGGTGAGTGGTGAGGCCCCTCAGGGCCCTAGCTGGCTGACTCCCCGCCTGGCTGACTGCCGTGGCCGCAGTCCTCGTGAGGACCCAGATGCTCATCGCGACCCACACAGGCTTTCCTCTTGGGTCCCGTCAGCATGGGGCTTCCCCGGTGGCTCAGCTGGTAAACAATCCACCTGCCGATGCAGGACACATGCGTTCGATCCCTGGGTCGGGAAGATGCCCTGGAGGAGGATTGGCAACCCACTCTAGTGTTCTTTCCTGGGGAAAGTACCATGGACAGAGGAGCCTGGGGGGGGGGCAGTCCACGGGGTCGCAAAGAGTCAGACACGACTTGGCAACTAAAACAACCCATCAACACAGCCACTCAGTCCAGCAACCTGGGAGTCCCTCCCTTTTGCCCTCTGTCTCCTCTGGACCACTAATCCCTCTTACTGATTGTATTTACTTCCAACCGGGCCCTCCTCCTTTCTCTCTGGACCCCAGACCCACTTTCCCCCCACTTCCTACCTCGCCTCCCCCAAGACAGGATGCCGCAAGGATCTCCCCAAAATAACTACTATGTACTACCTACAAAATCAAGTTCAGGGGCCCCCAAGATACCAGCAGGTAAGTTCTGAGACAAACTTATCAGGCAGGACATTTCAAGGGCTTAGAGGTTCCCTCCCAGGTGCTTGAGCGAAAGGTCAAATTTTCTTCAGGCATGGTTAACTCTTTCTGGCATAAGATCTTTCGATTATAATACTCATAATGGGGGCTTCCCTGGTGGTCCAGTGGCTAAGGCTTCACGCTCCCAATGCAGGGAACTAGATCCCACATGCTGCGGCTAAGAGTTGGCATGCTGTAACTAAGACCCAGTGAAGCCAAATAAATAGATAAACATTACCAAAAAACAAGCAAACGAAAAGGCTTATACTGCAGTTTGGGGGTTGTGTCTGCCTGACTCTGTAATGATGCGTGGTCCCTGAGGTCAGCTCAGGCCTAAGCAAATCCCTGACCTTCTTATGCCATCCATCCCATTCCAGTCCTATTAGATAGTAATATAACTGACTACAGCTTGAATGTCTGCTCCCCCCACTGCAACCGTGAGGTCGGGGGTGGCATCTTCTTTGTTCCTCACTGATATCCAGCGCCTGGCACCAGGGGAGCAGGTCCATAAGGCAGCACTGGAGTCAGAAGGACCTTACCAATGATTAAACGTCGGGCTTGGGGACATTTACTTAGTTTCAATTTCTCCACCTGATGTGTGTGCACTTAATTGCTAGTCGTGTCCAACTCTTTGCGACCCCATGGACTGCAGCCCACTAGGCTCCTCTGTCCATGGGGATTCTCCAGGCTAGAGTACTGGAGTGGGTTGTCATGCTCTCCTCCAGGGGATCTTCCCAACCCAGGGATCGAACCCAGGTCTCCCTCATTGCAGGTGGATTCTTTACCGTCCGAGCCAGGAGGGAAGTTTATCGACACAGCCCTTATTTATCTCCACCTGACAAATGAGGATAACAGTGTCTCCCAAGTAGACTGTTGTGAGGAATCTAGGAGACTGGCAACTGATTACCAAGTGCCAGGCATTAATAATCTCAAGCATTGAATGAATGAATGGGGGCCCAGCCAATGTTTGGAATGAAGAGGTGAAAAGACTGAACGTTCATTTTCCAGGTTCACTTGTGGGCCCTTCTTGCTCTCTCCCAGCTCTTTATCCCTTTTTAAAATTTTTCAATCATTTATTTTCATGTGGCTGTGTCAGGCCTCAGTTTCGGCGTGCACATCTTTGATCTTCCGTGCGGTGTGTGGGATGTTTAGTCGTGGCTCGTGGGATCTTAGTTCCCTGACCAGGGCCCCCTGCACTGAGTGGGCAGAGTCTTAGCCACTGGCCCACCAGGGAAGTCCCCAGACCCTGTTATCCTAACATGACACCCTTCTTTCCCCTCCACGCAGGGTTACCAGGATGAGTGTCCTCCAGGCAGCCCCCTGGCCTACCCGACCCCAGCGGCGGCCGCCCCCCTTTCAGGGGAGGAACAGGAGCTTCATTACACCTCCCTCAGTTTCCTCGAGCTGAGACCCTGGGAACCTCGGGACCAGGCCGCCACCAGCACCACTGAATATGCAGAGATCAAGATCCTTAAATGACGACCCTGCCTCCTGCAACCTTCTGCAACCTCTGGCTGGGGGACCCAGGGCTTCTCAGGGAAGAGAGACATCAGGGACGATGCCTGAGAGAATAGTTTTCCATGTACACGGGCTACCAGCTAGCGTATGCGAGTCCCGCTGGTGGGGCGGTGGGCGGAACTGGGCTCACGTCTCAGACCCATCACCAAACACGCGTCTGAGTTTGAACACCTCACCTTCCTTCTCAGTCTCCAACTCTGTGAAACGGACATCACAAACCTAACTCACCGGGATGTTGTGGGCAGCAAGGCAGTAATTAACATATAGTGTCCCACAGGGGTGAATGTGCAAAGGGCATCGCGCCCAAGGTCAAACCTCTTCCCTGGGCAACCTGCTGGGATAAGGGTCTGGCATGCTGGGCCAAATGGGGACCACTCTGCAGGGCTGTCTAGCTCCAGAGGTGCCTCCCCCCACTCCCAAGGCTGAGCAGAGGTTGTCATTAGGCAGGATCACATCCCTAGGCCCCGTGTAGCCCACCCCTCCCTTCCCTTCCACTCACACTCACCCCTGGGGGGCTTCCTGTGAACACAATGCAAACTGGTCTTTCTCTGAGCCTGCTTCCTGGAAACCCAACTTGTCTATTTTCTCGGACACAAAAATCATTCACTGATTATCTGAAATAAATGACAAGGGTTCTTTTTAATTCTGGGTCCTTGATATTTTGGTTCTTAAAGAGTTTTTTTTTTCTTCCAGAATCTGATTATAAAATTCCTTGCAGTTCCATTCTGTGTCCATTTACATTGTAATATAGTTTTTACAAGAGTCACAGCCAACTGCTTTTGTTCTTTTTCCCACTGAGCGTCCATTTAACTTTTTCCATTGTTTCCATTCATGAGGGAACACGCCCAACAGTAGCATTATGAGCCAAGATAGGAATATGTTTTAGCATCAAGTTAATAATTTCAGGCTGTAACTGCTCTACAAACTAGAGGTGCGGAAGGACGTAATTCCACCTTTCGTGGCACATTTTGCCTTGCCATTTTTCAGGATTAGGTTGCATCTCTTGATCAATGACCTTTAGAAATGGTGTCTGGACTTCCCTGGTGGTCCCGTGGTTAAGAATGTGCCTGCCAACACAGAGGATACAAGTTTGATCGCTGCTCCGAGAACTAAGATCATTAATGCCGAGGACATCCCCCTCCTCTTCCAGAGGCTGGGATGATCTGTCAAAACCTGGGCTCTGGAGACAGGTAGAGGCTGCTTCAGGGACAGGGAGGGAGACTGTCCACTGTCCACACTCTTGCTGCTCTGCCTGGATGTGGGCTTCTCCTGTTGTCTGAACAGCGCTGGTCCTGCTGGCTTGGCTTGCTCAGAGAGGGGAGGGGAGGACCGGCGTGGGGAGGGGAGCTGGACCTTGGCCAAGTGCACCGAGGGCGGGAAGCTGGCGGTGGGGGGGTGCAGGCGTCGACTGTGACCATCCCTCCTGCCTGATCTGGGATCCCCAAGGGTGGCTGACGTCCCTCTTCTCTTGTGGACTCACGAACACAGAGGGGCTGCCAGTGGGAGATTTTCTGATGGGCTTTCTCTCTTATTGAGGAATACCTCCTTCTGCAAAGGGTTATACACCCTTACTTTCAACCAGGAAATGGTCATCAGTACGCTCATTCTTCTTTCCTCTCCAGAAAAAGGAGAGAATCAAGGCTTCTCTGAGCAGTTTATCCCCCCTTCCAGCCTCTGATTCTTCCCATCCCAAAGCAGGGCGCACAATTTAAGATATCCAAAGTGAAATTCAAGGAGGCATGTTTATCTCCTCCTCCATTTTTCTTTTTAATTGAAGCTCCTCCTCCTCCTTGATCCTTCTCAGTCTAATTATTTGCCACATGCTGCTGGCCAGCCCGTCTCTGACATCTCTCCCCAGGCTCTCTCTTTCTCTGTCCTGTGGCCTCCTCCCTGGTCTCTCTGTGTCCAGGCTCCCCCCAAAGGTGCCCTCCAGTCTGGAGGACCCTCATTCTCCACCACAACCTGTGCTTTGTCTTCAGAGTGCTGACCACAGCCCGAAGTCATGTCCTTTGGCTTGACTGTAGGCTCCATCAGCTCAAGGACCTTGGTGCCTAGGTCTGGTTCATCAGGATCCTCTGGGCAGCATGATGGGTGTCGTATAGTATGAACTCAAGACATGTCTGCTGAATGTTTGTTGAATAAGAGGAAGGGTGAATGTGTGGAAGAGAAGGGTAAGTGGATGAGAGAATGAGTGGTAAATGAGTAGATGGATAAAAGGGTGAATGGATGGAGGGATGGATGGACAAGTATATGGATGGGTGCATGGATAGACAGATGATGGATGAATAAGTGAAAGAATGGATGAATGAGTGTCTGCTCAAAAATGTGGACAAATATATGGAAGAGTGGAGGGAACTCCCTGGTGGTCCAGTGGTTAAGAATCTGCCTTCTAATGCAGGGGATGTAGGTTCAATCCCTGATCAGGGAACTAAGATCCCACATGCTCTGGGGCAACGAAGCCCTCTCACAGCAACTAAGGTCTGACACAGCCAGATAAATAAATATTTTTAAAAAAGAAAAGAGAGAGTGGATGGTTGGATGAAACGTTGAAGAGACAGATGGATGGATGGGGGAAAAAATGAGCTAAATTTTTCCAAAAGGAACTTCTTTTGCAGACAGTCGACTCTCCAAGTTCCAATGAAACCATTTATTGTCAAAGCCTAGTGGTGCCAGTGGCAGCGTCCCCACTGAGGGGACCAGCCCAACCCCCATCTGTGAACGGGGGTCTTCTCCGCCTGAAGCCTCAGGGGCTGGCGGGAGACAACAGCTGAAGGGAGGGACAGTCGAAAGGAGGGAGTTCACAGTATCTGGGGCCTAACTTCTGGGTTCCCTGAGGCTGATCTAGACCAATGATGAGCAGTTTCACCTGAAGAAGCGGCAGGAATGCACATTCGAGGGATCTTTCGAGAAGCTTATCTGTGATTCTACAGCAGGACTTAAGTCACATAGCTCCTTTTTTTTTTTTTCCTATTTCAAACCCCAGGCTGAAAGTTCTAGAAGACAATAAAAATGGCTGTCAGTGTCATTCATTCAAAGGGTACCCTTTAAGCCCCTACTGTGTGATAGCAGTTTCCCATCAATACTTTCTAGGGATGGGCCACACCACCGCAAACAAGAGGACGAGGGAGGCTCTGCTGGGCTTATAATCTGGAGGAGAGTTGTGGAGACACGACAGATTAAACACACGCTTCCCCCCAGAGGGGACGGGGGTGTGCAGAAAACAGGAGACGTGATAAGGGAGGAGGTGGGGAGGCACTTCACTGGGGCGATCAGGGGAGGCCTCGGGATCTGATGGGTGGTGATGAGAAGGAGCCAGTCGTGGCAAAAACAAAGGGGCCAATGGTCACAGGCCGTGGGGATGGCGCGTGCCGAGGTCCTGAGGTGGGACTGATTTCTGCCTGGGCTGGAATCTGAGGAGAGGACGGGCAATCGGGCCAAGGCAGAGGCAAGAGGGTCCCCAAGTTGCTCCAAGGTGCCCGGGCCCCTTAAGGAGCGTCTCCTAATCCCTAACCAAGGAAAGCCTGCTGCTGAGTGAGCGGTCCCCGGAGACTAGCAAACTGGGGACTATGGTCCTCAGAGGGGCCGTGAGGTTTGCTCTTAAATTTCAATGGTATGGGCTGGATGGGGAGGTTGGATGGCCTGCTTGGTAAATATGGCTGGGGCATCTGTGAGCCAGGCCAGTGACCTGAGTGGAGAACAGAGATGCAGAGACAGACTCGACCTGGTTCTCACGGAGCTCATTGCCAGCAGGTGACTATGACAAGTGACCATGCACCAGGGGATCCAGGACAGGGGACGGAGGCAGAGCCCTGGAGGAGGTGGACTAGGAGGAATTTAGCAACTGCCTGGAGGGACAGGGTTGAGGGGCAGGGAGAGAGGGCTGTGGGAGGAGCCAGAGGTCTCTCAGACAGCTGTAGGGGTGGGGACAGAGACTGGGACGGGGCGCAAGCTGGGTGGAGGGGGTCATGCCTTCATTTCTGGAGAGTGTCTGTGGTTAAGGTGGAGTGTGCTAGGTTCCTGAACAAACAACCTGGCGTTTCTGGAGCGCTCTGCGCCCAGGCACGGGCGTAAACATCAGACGCCATCAGTGGAGACAGCGAGGGGAGCCAGGGACAGGGTTGAGACCCCCCCGGTTCTTCCTGCTAGAACCCACCTAGAGTACCACCTGGAGGTCCAAGGGGTCGTAGGCAGATACCCGCAGGTCCTGCAGCAGGGCTTCCAGATTGTTCCTCAGTGTGGAGTAGGGCGGCTTCTCCTCGTACTGGAGGGCCATCACCACCTTCAGGTACTCCTGCAGGGTCTCTGCGGTCAAGACACGGGGGAGGCCTGAGGGGGGTTGCCCCCCAACCCAAAACCCCGGGGGGCTGTGCCCAGAGGGTCTCAGCCATGGTGCTCCTTTGCTCAGTGCTTCCTCTGTGCCTGGCACCGCTGCGGCCATGTAATAGATTTTTATTTTTTTTAAACATTAAACATAAGCACCGGGAAAGTGGTACTGAGAGGAGCAGTGTGCCTGTCGCCTAGCATCACTGACAGGGATAGAACAGGACACTGTAGGGAAACAACAGCCAGTCGAGACAGCAGTGGTCAGACTCTCACTGCTGTCCCACGGTCCTCTTGCTCTGGTCCACATTCTGTAAACAAGGACTCTGCGTGGTTATGGAACGGCTGAGATCGTTTATAGCACTGCGCAGGAGAATCATGCCTACAAAAGCACCCCCTGAAAAGCCCGTGCCGTGCGGTGGGTGACATCAACCATTAGAGAAGAATAAAGCCTGTCTGCCTCACTGCTGCTGAACAAAGCATGTCTGCAGCTCTTCAAATCTTCTTCCAGCTTCTTCCTATCTGCTGCCTGGCTTGCAGCTGGCCTACCCTGGGCTCAACTATAGCAAGACAGATAGTTAGGACATTGTAGAAGTCCCAGTAGGGGACTATAGATAGAGAGGAAACCTAGGCAGCTTTGGAGACTAACGCTGCCTCAAGAAAGCTATTGGGGCTTCCCAGTGGCGCAGTGGTAAAAGAATCCGCCTGCCAATGCAGGAGGAACAGGTGATATGAGTTCAATCCCTGGGTTGGGAAGATCCCCTGGAGGAGGAAATGCAACCCACTCCAGGACTCTTGCCTGAGAAATCCCATGGACAGAGGAGCCTGTCAGGCTACAGTCTGTGGGGTCGCAAAGAGTAGGACACGACTGAGCAGGCACACACACAGAACCTGCTTAATTCTGGGGCAGAGCCCACTTGCCTGCTGGCTTGCACCTCTCACGAACATCCTATATTAATTAATCTACATTGTGCCTATCATTTTGCCTCTTGCTGAATTCCTTCTGAGCTGAGACAAAAAGAATCCGAGCCTCGGTAAGTCCAGGCATCAGGTGAGTGATTCCAATTAAAAGACCGTGGGGTCAAGTCCTACTCTGACGTGCATGGATTTATAATCAGTTATCAACTCACGCCGACCTTATTTCATCAAAACCCCTACTGCTTCCCCCTCCTGTATTGTTTTAAATCAAGTCCCCGCTGATTATATGATTTTATCTCTATTTGGTGTGTATCTCTAAAATGGGGGCCAACAAGCTTTTACTGTGACATGCCAGAGAGTAAATATTTTTGGCTCAGAACACAGGGAACCTGTGAGGGGAAGACCAAACTCAGCTGTTCTCCCACAAAAGGCCCAAGAAGGGAGGCAGGGAAGCCAATGCATGTGACTATGCACCAAGACTGATTTACTGATGGACGCTGCGGCTTGAATCTCACAGGTTTCATGTGTCACGAAATGATGTTCTTTTGATGTTTTTTCAAAAGATACAAACAGAATTATAAATAAAATAGAAACAGATATATAATTAGAAAGGCATTTTGTCATATGAAATATGTATTTCTAATTATAATCTGTTACTCACATATATATATATAACTACAAATATGTATCACTGAAGCTAGTATCTCGTTAAGCATTTCCTGAACTTGTGCAGGGCATTCATACTTTTCCTGTCTTTTAGGTTTTGCTTATCTGTTTGTTTTTGGCTGTGTTGGGTCTCCTTTGCTGTTCTTGGGCTTTCTCCAGTTGCGGCGAGTGGGAGCCTGCTCTCTAGTTGCGGCACCTAGCTGTCTCACTGCAGTGGCTCCTCTTGTTGCAGAGCATAAGCTCTAGGGTAAGTGAGCTTAGCAGCTGGGGCTCGCAGGCTCTGGAACGCAGGCTCAGCAGTTGTGGCACACGGGCTTAGGTGCCCCTTGGTCTGTGGAATCTTCTCAGCTCAGAGATCGAGCCCATGTCTCCTGCACTGGCAGGTGGATTCTTAACTACTGGACCACCAGGGAAGTCCTTTAACTTAAAAAAAACCCACCTGATCCTCCATCCCTGAGAGAATTGCTGTTAACATTGGCTGCACATCCTCTCCAATGCTTTCTTCTCAGATTTTCTTCTCTGATGAGATCTTTTAATAATGAAAATGGGATCTGACCATGTGTGGTTTTTATACATATATATATATGTATGTACGTATGTATTTGGCTGCAAGGGGTCCTACAGTTGTGGCATGTGGGATCTTTGATCGTCACTGCGGCATGCAGAATCTTTAGTTGCAGCATGTGGGATCCAGTTCCCTGACCAGGGATCGGACCGGGATCCTCTGCACTGGGAGCTCAGAATCTTAACCACTGGACCATCAGGGAGGTCCCTGTTTTTTTCACTTTTAAAATCCCCATTAAATGGATTTCATGACTGACTAATGAGTCACAAGTGAAATTTCAGCTGACATTAAGTGTATTTTACCACAATTTAAAAAATATCCATAAAATTCTATAAGCATTGACACAGAAAATCTCCACGGAATCTTCTTAGATGGAAAAGTAAGTCAGAGACAAATCCGTTAAAAAAACCCCACACATTATGTGTATGTGGTTACATGTGTGTGTGTGCGCTGCTGCTGTTACTGTTCAACACACTTCTGAATCTGGGTCGGGGGGAGACTTGTTTCTATGAGGGGCACAGATACACGTGTGATTTGGGAAACTCAAGGGAAATAGAGGGGTGTGAGGATGGGTACCCCGGGATGGGCCCGAGTCTTGGTCCCTCTGCGGCCCCTGCCTGCTCCCTCCCTTGGGACATACCTGAGGGGGTGATCCAGCGACTGCACTGTCCCACGAGGCCCTCTGGGTTGTCAAGAAACCTGAAGGGACAGAGGCACGTGTGAAACGCCTTTCAGGGAAGGAGAGTCACCTTTTGAAACAGGATGTCTGGTAGACGTGCCCTAGTTTTCCTTATTCTCATCAGTTGTGACCTAGAACAGGAGTCCCCAAACTTCGGGATCTAATGCCTGATGATCTGAGGTGGAGGTGATGTAGTAATAATAGAAATAAAATGCACAATAAATGTAAGGCGCTTGAATCATCCCGAAACCATTCTCCCACCCTCCACCAGTCTGTGAAAAACTGTCTTCCACAAAACCAGTCCCAGTGGCTAAAAGGTTGGGGACCGCTGCTCCAGAGAGTCACCTTGGACACTGGATGAGTGAATTCTGAACGAGGCGTTTAGGGGAAGCACAGCATTAAGTACTTGCAGGCTTCCAACTGCAACATTTTTACCAACTTATTAACACATTACCTGGTTTCGCCTGTGTGTGTGCCTGTGTGCATGCTCAGTTGCTTCAGCTGTGTCTGACTGTGACCCCACGGATCAAAGCCCACCAGGCTCCTCTGTCCATGAGATTCTCCAGGCAAGAATACTGGAGTGGGTTGCTATGCCCTCCTTCATGGGATCTTCCCCACACAGGGATCAAAGCCACGTCTCTTAAGTTTCCTACATCGGCACGCGGGTTCTTTACCACTAGCACCACCTGGGGTGTCCATTTGTAAATATATACATATATAAATACACACACACCCCCCTCCTTGGACCATGAAAGAAAAATGAAAAGTTAGTGGGGAGGGATAAATTAGGAGGTTGGGATTAACATATATATACTGGTACATATAAAATAGATAACCAGTAAGGATCTACTGTATAACATAAGGAACTCGGTATTTTGTAATATACTATGTGCAAAAAGAATCTTTAAAAGTATATACATGCATATATATACATACATAACTGAATCACTGGCTTAGACACTGGGCTGGCTCCCCACTGTCCGCAGAGTGGTGCTGTGATCCCCTTCCCCTCCTCCACAGCCCAGAAGTCCCTCAAGGCCTCTTGCTCCCCAGCCCTTTCTGTTCCACCCCCTCCTATGGCTCTGGGCCCAGCTCAGGCCTCACTTTCTCCACAGACCCCGGCCTCCTCCCCAGCTTTCCATTCACCTCCCCACAGAGCCCCAGAGAATCTGTCTATGCCTCTGCACATACCGCTCCTCTGCCCTTGGCTGCCTTTCCCCACCTCGATCCCCAGTAAGTGGCCGCTCTCCCTTCTGGACATGGCTGGAGGGCCTGTCCCCTGGAAGCTTCCCCTAAACCCTCCCAGGCAGAGGAAATGGGTCCCTCCTGAGTGCCTGCACACAGGTCCACGGATGCCTTACAGCAACTGTCACATGTGTACAAGAAGGACGGGGTCTGACGCGTGTCTCTCGGGATATATGAGGTAAAAGACTGAGCAACGGAGTGATGGCATAAAAGGGCTGTGCCAGCCTCAGGACAGCGAAAATTGTGTGAGCACTTCCCCTACACAGGCTCTCACCGTTGGGATCTGTGGGACCTCTCTGCCCAGCTGCAGGCTTAAGAGCAGAAACTAACTCCAACCGGAGTCTGTGCTTTCCCTGCTGGGGGTCTTGCATGCCAGAAAGCCTTGGGGAATCAGACTGCCTCTCATCTTTCTCTGTTATTCATTTATTCTGTCATGAACTAGAATTTACCAAAAAAAAAAAAAAATTTGCTGAGTGAATGGGAAAAAAGCCACATACACCAGTAACGTCAGAGAGGACAGTTGAAAAGTGCAAGTGTTAGTTGCTCAGTTGTGTCTGTTTGAGACCTCATGGACTGTAGCCCGCCAGCCTTCTCTGTCCACGGAATTCACCAGGCAAGAATATTGGAGTGGGTTGCCGTTACCCTCCTCCAGGGGATCTTCCTGACACAGGGATCGAACTCAAGTCTCTTGAGTTCCAGGTGGATTCTTTACCATCTGAGCCACCAAGGAAGAAAATGTGCATATTGCAACACTGCCCCCTTGTGGTCCCTTAGGTCAGCTGACAGAGGCTGGGCTGTGGGGTGTAGAATGAGCCCCGCATCACCACTGAAATTTCCCAGAGGAGCATCTTCATGTTCCCGGCCCTCCTTCTGTGGTTGTGGTTGGGATCTGGAGTTCTGGAAAGGGCTGTTACTTATTTTCTCGGGGCCTCTTGGTAAGAGCAGCTCAGTCTCATCGCTAACACAGCAGAGTGTGACAAGGAGCAGTTCACAGACTTCCACCACACTAAACATGTTAGCGATTGGGCTGTGTCCTCCGACTACCTGCGTCGCTAATTCTGAGACTCGTTTTCACCTGGCTTCATTGCAAAAAATACAAAATTACTGGAAAACTAGAAAATAAGTGCAAAAAGAAAAGAAGAAAACAGGGCAACGGGCTTGTGTTATGGCAGGAACTGAGGCTGCCTTCCAATGCAGAGGTTGCCTGCGGAAGCCTGGTTGCTGAGGGCTGCTCTCTCTGTCCGTCTCTTTCCCCTTCTGCAGAGATGTTAGGGCGTTATTAGCACCCAGGTGGACCGCCTCACTCACCTTCTAGAGTCGATTCACCTGTTGCCATTGCCGCGAGACCTGCTCTGGCCTTTAAATCTAAGACAGCAGGCATGCCCACACCCTGCCAGTGCCACTGGCGGATACCCAGGGCTCTGAACTGCCTGCCCCACCCTCCGACCCCAACACGCTTTGTGTTCCACTATCTCTTTATTTGCTGTCTCTCCCATTAGAATGTGAGTTCCTTGAGGGCAGGGGTGTGTGTCTTAGTTATTCTGTATCCCCAGGCCCTAGAAGAGTTTAGTGCAGGGAAGTGCTCAGTGAGTATCTGGTGAGTGGAGGATGGCTGCATCCAAACGCCACCAATCCCCTGCGATGAGCCTCTCGCACTTGGGGGGTACCAGCTTCCAGGTGAAAGGGCCTCCTCTGGAGTCAAAGGGCCTGGGAGTGCCTCTCAACAGCTGTGTGACCCAGGCCGATCACCTAAGATCTCCGTGCTTCAGATCGGGAGAGCACTTGCCTCAGAGCTGACACAGGGAAGTGGTGGGCGCACTGCCCAGGGCAGAAAAGCATAGTTAGCCATGACCAGGTAGTTACGGACAGGCCAATGTGACAGGTGTCCCTTCCTCGGAAGTGAACAAGCAGGAGGCCCGATGCAGTGGGGGTGAGGGAAGGGCTCCCTGGGGAGTGACGACTAAGCTGAAACATGACGGAGGATGAGATCTGGGGCGGGGCACCACTTACGCCAATGGAACACACACATACAGGCGTGTGTCCGATTGGCATAGATCAAGCACAACATAGATCAAGCTACATCTAAAATTACTTGAGGAGAAGCACTGAGCTTCTTTAGCAATGTAAAAAGTTAAAGAAATAAAGCATTAAGTGAAAGAAGGAGAATGAGATTTAGAGCACAAGACCATTTATGCAAGTCAAACACACTCATCACACGTTTAAGAAAAAAAAACTTGTTTAAGGACACAGATGTGCCTATCCCTTATTTAAAAGCAACAGTAAGAAGCAGTAAACTCGACACACATGTAACTATGGGGTTAAACTGGAAGTGTTGAGTGAAAAAAGCCAGAAACGTGAGATTCTTAACAGAGTAACATTTATGCAAGTCAGATACAGTGCCACGACTGTCATGCAAGTTTAAGGATACAGGTACATTTAAGCAAGCATATCAGTAGGACACATATACATTCAGTATGTATGAGTGGGGTAAAGGAAGATGGGAGATAATAAAGGGGGCAAAATGAGAGGCTCAACATGAACCACTGACACAGCATGCTCGGCACTGAGAAGACAGACAGACTCGATGCCGTTCACTGGAGAGTTTTCTCTTTCCACTCCCCCAGGGCTTCTGCGGACAGCTCCTGAGACACTGCTGAAGTCTGAGTCTCCATTTGAACTTCAGGTTTGCACTTCAGATGCGATACCCAACCATCTCCTGAATGGCTCTTGGGGTAACTCTCTGCCCCAAGCCTACACCAGAGCTCGAATCCCGAGCTCTGGACCTGCAGAGCGGCCCTGAGTCTAGTTGTCTACTGTCCACACACTCAGCAGCACCTCCCCTTACAGCCAACAGCCCCTCTGTCCTTGGTGCTGAGCCGCGCACCCACCAGCCCCCTCCCCCGTACCCCCACTGCCCTCTGTCCTTGGTGCTGAACCACACCACCCAACACTTCCGGGTTTATCCCACTGTCCTTGGTGCTGAATGTCTAAAACAGAACTAGCAAGATCTGGTGGTTTCACACGTGGAAGTGAGGGAAGTGTGCACACCAGAGGCCAGGGTTGCCAGATACTGAGACAAAGCCCAGGCCTAACTGCTCAGGTTGCCCATGTGTCCCTGTGGGAGTGAATGAACCATGGTGTCCTGCACACGGTGAGCATTTTCTACAGGCCAGGCTCTGTGCTGAGTGCTGTGCACCCAACTCCCTTAAATCTTTCCACCCTGAGGTGGGCGCTAATAGGATCCCAGCTCATGGAGGACACTGACGCTTGTGGAGGTTCAGCTGCCCACCCAACACCCTGCAGTGGTGGGGCCGGAGTCTGACCCCAGGCAGTATGGCTCCAGAGCCCATGCTCTAGCCTGCTGGAATGGACGAGAGCACATGCCTGAGAACTGCAGATGCCAGAGGCTGCCTTGCCCTCTTTTCTGTTCCCTGCTGGGTTCTGAGCTTCTGCCCCACCTGCAGGGATGGCGGACCAGCACTGTGCTCTGCTGACCCCGGACTCACTTCTGTTTCAGCTTCATGATCTCCTCGGTGTTGGGAAGGCAGTTTGTCCATGGCAGGATCCCATAGAGCCACTTTAGCAAACAGTAGCCTAGGGTCTGGAGGTCACTGCGGCGGGAGGGCCCTGGGGAGGGAGGGAAGGAGGTGGCCACTCAGGCAGATGTTCTGACACGCCCACCTTAATCCTTTCTCTCTCTCACCAACTCAAGCATGTGCTCACACACGCAACCCACCCAAATATACTGGCTCTCAACTGCTCACCCACTTTTCACTTGTCTACTCTCACTCCTTCAGGAGTCTGTCAATTACTCATTCACTACCTTGGTCATCTCTTCATCCCTGCTGTCACTAGCTCACTCCCTCACCTACTTGTCTTTCATTCATGAACCTATTTGTTCCATGAATCCTCAGAACCTTGGGTGACAAGCCCCTTCCCACATTCTTTTCTTTTTTCTTTTTTAGTATTCATTTATTTAGCCACACTGGGTCTTAACTGTGGCACATGGGATCTTCGATCTTCACTGCAGCATGTGAACTCTTAGTTGCAGCATGTGGGATCTAGTTCCCTGACCAGGGGCTCCTGCATTGGGAGTGCAGAGTCTTTGCCACTGGACAACCAGGGAAGGCCTCCTTCCCATATTCTTAAATTCCAGACAAGAGTTTGGTTGGCTCCCAGCCCTTGACAGTCCAGTGGAGAGATGTCACAGGCATGAAGGTGCCTAGAAGGATGGCCACTGAACTCAGCCTCACTTGGCAGGGAAGGACAAACAGAGCAGACAGCGGGGTTTGGTTTCCTTACACTTCCTGAAGCACATAATTTAGACAACACTTCACATAAGCATTCGACAAACACTGCGAGCTGTGTTGGACCCTCTGCCACCTGGTGCTGGCGGCACACACACCGTCCCTTCCCTGGGGGGCTCAGCGTAATGGGAGGACGCGGGCAGGGACATGGATGGCCCTAGTTTCAAGGGGTTTGGGCAAGAGAAGCCCAGCCTCCTCAAGGCGTCCCCTCAAAGTGCGCTCTTCTCTCCCTATGTGGTTTCCCGGGATAATCTCACTCCTGTCCCTGGGCTTCAACTGCCAACTTCTGAAATGCTGCTGACATCTGGGTCTCTGTCTAGACCTCACTGGTGTGCTGCAGAGATGGATAGTCAGTGGTTTACAAGTGCGTATTCAGCAGCCCCTCCTGGATGACTCCTAAGTCGCCCTCTCACATTCTAAGTCCACACGGATCCTGAACGTGGACCTAGGAGTCCTCAGTGTTGCCCCACAACGCTCCGACGCGTGGGGATGCTGTCCATTGTTCTGACCCCTACCATGGCTCCCCGACTTAGCGGGACCACCTGCTGTCCATGGCTGTGCCAACCGAGGGCTGCCCTTGTCTGAGGAGCATGTCTCCAAGCTTCTGAACCCCTTCTCTGGCCCCTTACCGCATCCCTTGTGCAGGTCCATGCTAATGAACTCAAGGTCCCCCTCATGTGGGCTCCTGCTGCCTTCGGTGTAAGCCACGTGTCTGCCACCTGGTGAATAGCGGAAGGTGAAGCCGTAGCCTGCCAGGGTCACCTGTGTGCACGTGGGGAGAAGCCATACAGTTTGAAGATTAGGAATCTGTATTCTGAAGTCAGGGATTTCAATTGTGGGTGCAATTTGAAACAACCCAATGCCAAACAGTACAGGAGGATGTGGAAAGAACCCAAATCAGTCATTCCCATCACTGCTCAGTCCCAGTTCTCAGAAGTAACCACTAACAGCTTCTCATATGTTCATTTTCTTTAAATAATCAGCAAACGCATGTGGGTAAGAAGGATGCTCTAATTTTCCTCAGAGGGATCGCACTGTACCTCCTGTTGGGCACACAGCTTTCTGTACTTTAATAGTGTATTAACTGCAGAGCCAGACAGACCAGACTCCAATGCCAGCTTGGCCCATTAGTGCCCATACAACGCTGGTGAAATTATGAAACTCTCTGGGCTTTGATTTCTCTATTGGCCAAATGAAGGTAATGATAGCCCTCACCTTGCAGGGTTGTGAGGAGGCTCAACTGGGTTTAAAACACAAAGTGCTTAGCTAACACAGAGCTAGCCACATCAGCTTTCTAATGGCTACCTCTTATTCTGCGAATGGAGAGGGGACACCTGTTGGCTTTGTCCACATGAGACCTACATTCTCTGGTCACAGTTTGTGTTGTTTTTATCTGTCAACCTGACTGGGCCACAGGGTGCCTAGACGTGTTGCCAAAGGTTATTCTGGGTACGTCTGTGAGGGTGTGACTGGAATGGATGGCAGACTGCCCTCTCTAGTGTGTGGGCCTCGTCTCATCAGTTGAAGAACAGAACAGAAAGGCTTAAGTGAAAGGGAATGCCCCTTGCCTGTCCGCTTGAGCTGAACATCAGCATTTTCCTGCCTTTGGGTTTGAACAGAAATACTGGCTCTTCTCAGGTCTTGAGTCTGCCAGCTTTTGGACTGGAACTCACACAGGTGTTTTCAGGCCTTTGGACTCTGACTAGAAACATACCATTAGCTCTCCTGTTCTCCAGCTTGCCAACTGCAGATTTAGGGCCCCTGAGCTTTTTGAATGAGTCAAATTCTTATAATCTCTCTCTCTCTGTGTACACACACACACACACACATTCTGTTTCTTTTTGGCCTCCTGCTATGTGGGATCTTGGTTCCCTGACCAGGGATCAAACCCATAACCCCTGTATTGGAAGCTCAGGGTCTTAACCACTGTACTATCAGAGAAGTCCTAGTTTTGCCTCATATGGTTCTAGGATTTTTCTCTGAGACCACCCCTCTCCAACTCTCAGTCCAAGTGATTGAGATGGGGCTTACCTAATCCATCTCCACTGGGGTTGCTAAATGGAGGGGATTTAAGCCTCGTTTGCTGGTGGTTACTTTGTCATCATAGCAAAGAGGGACTGACTGATAATGAGCAATGCAAACACAAGAAGAGCCCAGGGACAGAAGGTCCAGTTTCCTAATGACAGGGTCTGAATTTTTAGAATCAGCCATGCCTGAAGCAGTGAAGTCCTGGATTTTTCCACTCCAAGGAGCAATAAATTGTACCTCCCTTTTTTTAAACTAACCCCCCCTTTTTTTTGCTTAAGGCATGTTAAATTTGGCTTCTATCATTAGAAAGAGTAATTATGATTTACTTTAAATACTAATCAATACGCTATCAGAAGTATATGTTAAGGTTTTCCCATTTTACTCTCAGAATCGGTGTTGTCAGGAACATTTTGTACGTGTACCTCTTTTTTTTCCCCTCTTTTATTTTTGGCTGCATCGGGCCTTAGTTGCGGCACTCGGTATTCTCACCGCAGTATGAGGGATCTTCCATTGCGGGCTTCTCTCTAGCTGTGGTGCATGGGCTCAGCTGTCCCGAGCCATGTGTGATCTCTGCTCCCTGACCAGGGACTGAACCTGTGTCCGCTGCATTAGAAGGCGGATTCTTAACCACTGGACTACCAGGGAAGTCCCTGTAATATATCTTTGAATATATGGAATGGATAAATTCCTCAGAGAGGAACCAGTAGATCAAAAACCTTATGCAGTTAGCTCCATCAATCTTGCACAAGCAAACGACAGTTGGTGGAACCTGCTACCCAGGTCCGCTGCTACTTCCACCCTGGCAACTGGCAGTGGGGGGCCCTCTTCTGTGCACTGACTACCTGTGGAAATGGTAGTGAAATTAGTGTGAAATGCATGTTTAGCAAATGTTAGGTACTGTATTTGAACCAATAAACATGAATCCTTCTGCAAAAAGAAGACAAAAACCCATATACATTTAAAATTTTGACTGCTCTAAGAAACTACCTTCCTAAAAGTTCACCCGAGTACACTTCCAAAAAGGAAAGAATTCCTGTTTCCTCACATCCATATCAGCAAGAGATATCCTTTTTCTTTTTAATTTTGTCCACCCAAAAGGTAAAAGTAGTAGTGTATTTTAATTTCCATGATTACTAGAATCTAATAATAATTGTGGGAGGTTGAACATTTTTTCATAGATTTAACTGACCTATGGATTTCTTTTTCTATGAACTGCTTTTCCTATCCTTTGTCCATTTTCCTACTAAGTGGCTTATCTCTCCTCGTTTACTCAAAGAAGCACTTTATACATGATGGATAGCAGTTCTTTGTCTGCAATAAGCATTGTGAAATAAATGCAGGTTTTAAGACAGGCGAGACCCGGAGCCCAGAGAGCTCCCAGGGAGGGTGAGGATCTGGCAGTTACCTGGCATAGGTTCTGTGGATTCACGAAGATATTCTTAGCTGTCATGTTGCCATGAACGTACTCACTCTCATGGAGGAACTCCAGGGCATCCAGCTAGGGGAGGAAAGCAAGCGTTTCTGTGAGAAGTGCTGATAACACAGAGAGGCTCTGATGCAAAGCCTCAGAAGGAAACCCCACTGTTGGGCCTGGGGTCACGTGGTCCTGCTCGTCATGGGGGTGGTAACAGTGGTAGATTGCCTGTGTGTGTGTTCAGTTGCTTCAGTCGTTTCCAACTCTTTTCCGCCTCATGGACTGTAGCCTCCTCTGTCCGTGGGATTCTCCAGGCAAGAATACTGGAGTGGGTTGCCATGCCCTCCTTCAGGGGATCGTCCCAACCAGAGATTGAAACCGTGTCTCATGAGTCTCCTGCGTTGGCAGGCGGACTCTGCACCCACTAAGCCACCTGGGAAGCCCCAGGGGTGGATTGAGCCTGACTAATTCTGAGTGAAGCATTTGGACGCCCTCCCTGACAGCACCTAAGAACGTCTTAGAAGACATGAGTCTTCTAAATTCAGTATTTAGAAGCTTTTAAATTCAGTATTAAAGCTGACATTTCATTTTCCATCAATCTCTTGTATCTATTGGGTTGGCCAAAAGTTTGTTTGTCCTCAAGCCGGTACGGGAAAACCCAAATGAACTTTTTGGCCAACCCATTATTTCTTAGTTGATCAAAATCTCAGGAGGGGAAAACACTGGTTACTTATTGACCCTTGCAAAAACAAACAAACAAACAAACAAACAAAACCAACACTCATGTTCACCAGAGAGGTTTTCTCATTTGTCCAAAAAAGCAGAAATACATTTAGTTGAGCAATTTGTACGTTTATTTCTAGCCCTGACTTTTCCACTGAGCTCCGAATGCATATACTGAACCCCCAGGTGCTCGCTGTATCCTGATTGCATCCCCCTTGATGCCAAGACTTGACTGCCCACCCCATTCTGCTGCTTCTACAGATACTCCGTCCCCAGCCCAGCTCCTCCTCAGGCCTGGTCCTCTCGTGCCCACCTCACTCAGCCTCCACCTCACCCTCCTCGGCCATGCCCACGTGGCCCATGGGGTCCTTCTACACCCTGAGCTGACGCTGCCCCTGCCCGTCCTCAGTCCTCACGTGGGTCCCCGCCCCTCAGCCTGGCATTCAAGGCCCTGGGTCCTCTGGTCACTGCTGAGCCGCCACGCCAACCTCAGCTCCTGCCTTGCACCCTCGACACGTCACACGGCAAACACAGCGAGTAAAGACCCCCGGGACTCATCCCGCCAGGTATTTATATTTGTCACTTATTTTTATTTATCTTTGGCTGCCCGGGGTCCTCACTGCTGCGTGCGGGCTTTCTCTGGTTGTGGCGAGGCGAGGCCAATCTTGGCTGTAGCGCCCGGGCTTCTCACTGTGGCAGCTTCTCTTGCTGCGGATCATGGGCTCACTAGTTGCGGTGCACGGGCTTAGTTGGCTTGCATGGCACCTGGGATCTTCCCGGACCAGGATCGAACTCATGTCCCCTGCATTGGCAGATGGATTCTTAGCCACTGTGCTACCAGGGAAGTCACTATGTGTGTATTTGGCTGTGCCGGGTCTCACGTGTGGAAAATGGGATCTACGTTGTCACATGCGGGGTCTTTAGTTGCAGCATGTGAACTCTTAGTTGCAATATGTGGGATCTAGTTCCTGGAGCAGGGATTGAACCTGGGATGAGGGGGAGCCCTGAGTTGGGAGTGAGGAGCCTTAGCCACTGGACCCCCAGGGAGGTCCCTCCTCCAGCAGTTTAAGTTAGGTCCTCTTCTTCTTCGTCACAGCATGGGGACACGTATCCAGAGCAGTTTTCACTATTGGTGCAACTGTGGCTTAAACTCATCCTCTCCCACTAGACATAGAAACCATGTCTGTGCTGCCCCGCACTGCACTCCCAGGCCCTGGGACAGTGTCTGACACTCAGCAGGGACAGGATACATATTTCATGGGAGGATGGATGGGGGAAGGAATGAATGACAGAGGTTGTGTGTGCTCTCCCCCACACGAGCCTTTGCCTAAGCTACTTCCTTGGGCTGGAACACTCTCCCCATGTATTCCCACTCCCACCCTACCCCGCACCTTGCTACTCCCCACTCTAGCTTAGAAATACACTCTACCAGGAAGCACAGCTGAGCCCCCAGTTTAGGCTGGGACCCTTCCTCCAACTCCCACAGCCTCCTGAACATCCCTCATGGCATCACTTATCGCTCTGGTTCTAAAGGTCTGGTGTTCAGCTGTGCTAGTCACCCTGCTTGCCCCAGTGCCCAGTGGAGGGAGATGCGGGCTGAATGTGTCAAAGAGCAAACAGACTAGTAAACTAGGACCCGGGCCGCCATGACCTGGACGGGAGCCTGAGACCCTTTGGTACCTACCAGGCGGCAGGCCATCTGGAACACAGACCTCACCGACATCACGTGCTTTGGGAAGTCATCCAGGATTGACTGAAGGCTCCTCCCCAGGATGGGAAACACCAAGAACCTGGAAGACACGGGTGTCCCAGGAGGTGGGAGAGAAGACTGCGGCAGGGACAGAATACAGTTCACCAAGGATGGACTGTGGCTGGGGACTACCAGGTCCCAGTCCAGGGTGAGATGAAGGGTTGGATGGGTGAGGGGTCAGTCTGGCTCAAAGCTGGGGGAGGAAGGAAGCGACTCCAGTGGCTCCAGGGTCCCAGCCATGCCTGGGCATGAGACAGAGAGAGAGGAAGCAGCCAGCAAAGCATGTGCCAAGTGAAGCAACTCACCTGTACTTGTCCTGGTGAATGCCGAAACCGATGCAGGTGGGGATGGCCAGCTGCGGGATTGAGTACAGCTTCTTCCACTTGTTCACTGCGGGAGGCAGGGGCCTGAGAGGTCAGGGCCCACCTGGCCCCACACCCACAGCAGCCCACAGTCCACTCAGACCAGAAGCAGAACACACCTGAGTCCCGGCCAGACCCTGGGTCTCCTGCTTGGAGACACCGCTTCTGTGGGTGGGTGAGGACTAGGGGGGCAACGACAGCGGGTGTGAATGTGGTTTTGAGAAAGCACTGACAAATCTGGAGTGAGTGGAAGGGGTAAGAGTGACCGTGTAACCCATGAATTCTCACACAGAGCTAATGAGATCGGGAAAAGTCTAAACTGGTCACTGTGTCACTAGAGGTCTGGCCAACCTTTCAGAATCTCAGTTGAATGGTAGAGATGGAGCAGAGTGCTGATGAAAATTTAATGACTGGTTGTTCAGGAAAAAAATAGCCCTGATTTGTGTTTGTGGATTTCCGTGGTGTAAATGCTTCCCAGTATGGCCAATTACAAGCTACCAGTGTGGTATCATCAAAGATAAAGAGTTGGGCAGAGAGGCAATAGCATGCCCTTACATGCTATTTCCATCACATGGATACAGTGAATGGAAGCAACTTTAAAAGTACAGATAATAGGGACTTCCCTGGTGGTCCAGTGGTTAGGACTCCATGCATTCACTGCCAGGGTCCAGTTCAATTCCTGGTCAGGGAACTAAGATCCCACATGCCACACAGTCTGGCCAAAAAAAAAGCACAGCGTGTAGATAACAGACAATGGAAAATGTAGACAAATAACAAGGAAGTGATAAACTTCCACGTTGGTTTATTGCCCTCGTTCCTTTCTGTGTCACGTTCCGTTTATTTCTGGCTGTGAGGGCTCTCGGCTGCTGTGAGGTCTGTTCTCCAGCTGTGGCGAGCTGGGGCTGCTGTCTGATGGGGGGCACAGGCTCTGCGGCGCGGGCTTCAGTGGCTGTGGTCCCCGGGCTCCAGAGCACAGGCTCGGCAGGGGTAGTGCATGGGCTTAGGCGCTCTGCAGCATGCGGATCCTCCTGGGTCAGGGATCGAACCTGGGTCTCCTGCATTGGCAGGCGGATTCTTTACCACTGAGTCACCAGGGAAGCCCACTCTTGTTCTTAACCTGACTGTAAATTGATATAATTAATTACTTTATTATTTATTTGGCTGCTCCAGGTCTTAGTTTGCAGCATGGGAACTCCTAGTTGAAGTGCAGCACTTGAACTCTTAGATGTGGCCTGCAGGATCTAGCTTCCTGACCAGGGACTGAACCTGGGCCCCGTCCGATGGGAGTGCAGTCTTAACCACTGGACCACCAGGGAAGTCTCTGGCACAATTAGTTTATGACTGCTGTTTTAATAACTGGCTTACAGTATTTCTGAAAATTTAATACTTGGCTCTCAAGAGCTGGGATGACGAGCCAGCTTCAGCCCATTGTCTGTTGTCTGTCCTCTGAGGCCCAAGGGGTGATGGGAGCAAACCTGGGCCTTGAATTTCATCCCCACCCTTCCCACACAGTCAGGGAGAAGGCAGTTGTTCTGACCAAGCTGGTGCCTCCAACCTCTCCCCCACTTGCCCACTTCCCTGAGGCATACCTTGCAAAGGCTTGGCAGCCCGCTGGAAGAAGTTCTGTTCATTGAACAAGCGCCCATCCTTGGCATCCTAGTTGGGGAGGGGAGGGGAGGGGAAAAGGCTGTCACACTGGAATCTCATAGGCAAGGACTCCCAGATCATCACTGGCCGAGGATCATCCCAGGGTAATGCCATCAACACCCTAGGTTCCCCAAGTCTTGCACATCAGAACCAGATTCCCTAGGGTGCTTCATGTGACCATGTATCAGAGACTTTGAGTTACTGCCTAGGTTCCTTTTCTTCTATGACAGGATCCACAAGTTTTCTCTAGACACAGGCCCTTCAGCTAAAAACTACATTTTTCCAGTCTCCCTTGCAGCAAGGAATGGCCACATGATCAAGTTCTGGCCAACGGGGATGTGAGCAGAAGAGAGATGGGCAACTTTCAGGTTATGCTTTCAAAGGGCTAGGGCAGGCTCTCTCCTTTCTCTTCTCCTGTTCCAGTTGGCTGGAATGCAGATGAGATGGTGGGAGCTGGAGCAGCCATTTCAGCCCATGAGATGATTATAGGTTGAAGGTCTTGGAGCCACAAGAGAGAAGGAAAGTAAGCCCCTTGTTTATGGAACCACCGTATCAGCCCTGGGCCACTGCCCTAGACTTTTAAGTGAAAGAGCAATAAGATATTATTTTTGTGTAAGCCATTATTAACATTGGGTCACTTTTCCCAAGCAGTCAATCCAAATAATTTAACTAAATACAACTAGTAAAGCGGGGTTCTTAAGACCACAGGATCAAAGAGAGCTGCATTCAAATCCCAGCTCTGACATTTATTCATTTTTTCTATAAAGTACCTATTATGTGCCTAGTATTCTTTTGGTTATTGGTGATAGAGCAGTGAACAAAGCAACTTGCACACTGGTGCCCCCGGGAAAGTGACCAAGATTTTATTTTCTTGTCTGTTAAATGGGGGAACATGGTGACTACCCTAAAGGTTTGATTATCAACCAGGGCTGGGCACAGAACAGGCTCTCAGCAGGTAGGTGCTATTACTCATCTGTGAGTCTGGCTCCGGGGCCCTCACTCACAGGGCCTCCATCTAGATCCAAGGGAGGGCACCTGAACTAGCTGTCTCGGTTTTTGGGTGCTTGTGCAGATCACATGGCCAGAAAGCATCCGAGTCAGGTCTCTGGGACGGACCCGACTGCAGCCTCTAAGGGGCCCCGCGTCGGAGAACCCAAGGCCCAGAGGAAGATGTGCCCCGCCCAAGGTCCCACTGCTCCCTGCTGGCCAAGGCTGTGCTTTTTGGCCCGCCCAGCCCAGCCCAGCCTTCCCCTCCCCTCGGGGCTGCCCATCCGACCCGGGCCCACTCACTAGTTTAAGTGAGAATCTTTGTTTCTGGGGGCTTGTCTCGCTGCCGGTGGTGGAGTCAGACTCAGCTGTAGATGGAGAAAATGAGCGAGGTTATCATCTGCAGGGAAGGTGAGGGGCATTGTCCTCTGAGTAACAAGCAGCAGTTGTGGTTAATGAGTGCCCACGGGGTCAAGTGCATTCTCGACTTTCAAGACCTGAACCTTCTCATTTTCAAACAGCTTCCTTCTTTCTACCTCTTTCTCTCTCTAAGACACAGCTGTGCACACGTGTGGGTTCCCCTAGCAAATCACTGAGCCTGGGGGTGGTCCTGAAGCCCCTGACTCAGCTGCTGTATGCATGTGTCTGCATATACGGGTGTGTGGCCGAACCACACTGACTCCGTCTTGACAGGGCCATCTTAGGCCCACTCTTCTGCCCCCTCCCCTTTCTTAGTCACTGAGCTTTTGCTTATGAGGAGTGTACCCAAACCAGCTGCGTTACTCATTAACTTTAACTCTTGCCTTCCTCTGAAAACTGGAAGAACGCCTTCTGCTGACACAGATGGTTAATGGTTCATGAGGAATAATGGTCATGAGATCCCTGGGGGAGGAACCCCCTGATTCCTGTGGGCCTAGACGTGCTTCTCCCTCAGTAGTCAGACTCTAGCTTTAGCTTTGTCCCCTTTAAAGCCCTCAGCACCCTTCTGGCAAAACAGAGTGCAGTTGCAAATGCTTCCAAATTGCTGACCACTGAATCCTATCCATACGTAAGTTACCCACGATAATCTTCGTAACTGTACTTTATGTTTTTTCTTTTTTTTTGGCTGCGTTGGGTCTCGGTTGCCGCACTCAGACTCTCTAGTTGTGGTGTGTGGGCTCAGAAGTTGCGGGCTTAGCTGCCCCGCAGCATGTGGGATCTTAATTCCCAGACCAGGGATCAAACCCGCATCCCCTGCATTGGAAGGTGGCTATCTTAACCACTGTACTAATAGGAAAGTCCCTCCACTTCACTTTTCTTTTTTCTAAATCTCAAGGTTCCTTCTCAGGTCAGGGGACACTATTCAACATTCCCGTCTTTGACCAGTTCATAAGCTCCCCTCAGGGGACGGCCCCTGCAGCAGCCTCAGCCCCTCAGGGATCCCTGAGCTCCAAGCCCCAGGGCGGCCCGTATCCAAAGGCCGATGGCGGGCGACAGAAAGGCCCAGCGGTGGTGGCCTAGCACAGAACCATACTGAAGGGCCACTTCTGCTCCTGCCTCACCCACTTCCTTCCTTTCCCATCTTTAGGTGTCGATCTCCCCATGGGGCACTTCCTCGTAAGCAATCTTTGAGCTCAGCCCTTTCTGCTTAATTACAGACTCTGCAAAGTCTCCTGTCCTGTGCTAAGCACGCACTTTGCACACATTGTTTCCTTTAAGGCTCGTGACAGCCCAGGATACATCTGTGTGTTCAGTCATGTCCAACTCTGCTGCGACCCCATGGACTGTGGCCCACCAGGCTCCCCTGTCCATGGGGTTTTTTTGGGTTAAGGATACTGGAGTGGGTTGCCATTTCCTCCTCCAGGGGATCTTTCTGACCCAGGGATCAAACCAGAATCTTTCTACTACCAGGTAATTATGGTGACTGTCGTTAGCTATATTAAATATATATATAGGCTGCATTGGGTCTTAGTTTCAGTATGCAGGCTCAGCCGCCCTGCGGCATGTGCGATCTTAGTTCCAGGGATAGAACCCACATCCCACGCACTGGAAGAGCAGTTTTAACCAGTGGACCACCAGGGAAGTTCTCATTTTTTTTTTTCTTTTTTTTTTTTTAAAGAAAAACGGAAAATTTTATCCAAGCCAAGTTTGAGGATTACAACCTGGGAAGAGTATCTCAGAAAGCTCTGAGAACTGTTCCGTGTGCCCACTTCACAGATGCGACCAGAGAGCTGACGCTTAAGGAGGCCTCGTGATACGGGAGGCTCTGTGCCAGGCAGGTCTGGGTTCAAGTCCAGGCCTTCTGTCACCTCTGTGTGACTTAGTGTCACACAGGCTAACCCCCTCTGGGCCTCTCTGCTCCATGTCAGTAAAAGCAGGTGTAATGAAGCTCACCCCGGAGAGTGGATGCAACGGTTCAGAGGGCAGGAGCAACTGGTACAGCTGAGCAGGAATCACAGCCAGCTTTTTTTTTTTTTCTTGGCTGTGCTGCATGGCTTGTGAGATCTTAGTTCCCAGACCAGGGACTGAACCTGGGCCCTCAGCAGTGAGTGCAGAGTCCTAACCACAGGGCCACCAAGGAACCCCTCAGTGTCACTTTTTTTAAAATGTTTGTTTATTTATTTGGCTGCGCCAGGTCTTAGGTGTGCAGCATGTGGGATCTAGTTCCCTGACCAGGGATTGAACCTGGGCCCCCTGCATTGGGAGTCTTAGCCACTGGACCACCAGGAAAGTCCCAGCTTCACCCTTCGTATGAGCCACGCAGGGCCCCTCTTCCCAGCCTCAGAGCCCAGCACCACTCTGGGCAGGCCGGGAGCACTCAGTACGTGGCAGCTTTTAAAGTATCATCAGCCGAGGGCCCCCAGCTGGTAAGTGGCAGCGCGGCCTCGGCCGACACGCAGCTCATTCTGGAGTTTGTGAACTGAACTGTCGTCCAGGCTCCCAGCCGGCCCTCTGTGTCATCCCTCCGTTTTTCTCTTCTTCCCCACCCTTCCTAGCCTCCCAGGCTGGCGTCGTCCAAGACACTGAGATAAAAGGCAGGGAGGTGGTAAAGTGGCTGAGCAGCCATGCTCACCCACAAGAAGCTCTGGCTGGAGCAGGGCGGGAACCAGGGCTTACTGAGCCAAGGCCGAAGGTGACCTGAGCTCAGCCTTTAGGAGGGAAACAGGAAGGTGCTGGATCTCGGGGGAAAGGGGGTCCTTCCCACCTGTGAGGAGGGGGCCAGGGGGGAATCTCCGAGGGGCAATCAGGAAATGGCCAGGGCACCTCGTAGGCGTAATAGCAGGATTTGTCTCACAGAGTCACCTTGAGGTCTGAGGGTAAGCACCGCTCAATCAACCACTGGATGAAAGCGTTATCCTACATGCCCGACACTCAGAAGCAGGTAGCAGCTGAGTAATTTAAATTGCCAGCTCAGAAGCAGCTGGCAATTTACATACAATTTCCCTGCACTACTCTCCAGATTATAAAGGGCTTTTCTCCTCCACCCTTCTAACTGTCCCTCCCGCTGACAGCTGGAGAGCCAGCTGGGAAACTCCCATTACAGACAGGAGCCAGCAGAGACCTAGGAAGGGCGGTGGACGTGGCCGAGGCCCCTGGAGAGCCTGGATGTAAACCCCTGGAGGTCCAGATGCTGTGACCTGGGAGACCCCTGGTGCATGCAAACCTGATGGATGTATGGAAGGTCCCTACATGTGCCAAAGGCAGACAAGGGTGTGGCAGGCAGGCAGGTGGCAGCCTCTGATTGCCAAGAGACAGGTGACCTTGAACTTGGAGCAAGAATGCCATGCTGGCATCCATCATAACCACAATAACTGAGAATTCCCTGGTGGTCCAGTGGCTAGGACTCAGTACTTTCATTGCGAGGGCCTGGATTCAATCCCTGGTTGCGGAACTAAGATCTTGCAAGCCTCTCAGCATGGCCAAAAACCCCAATCCCCACTCCCCCAAAACAAAACCAAAAAAACAAACCAGAATGACAACAGGAAGCGTTTATATGCTGTTTGTGCATTGTTCTACTCATTTAGCTCTCCAACGACAACCCTGTGAGGTCAATATCAAAGCTCTCCATTTTGCAGGTGAGCCAGGTTGGGAATCCGCCTTCCAATGCAGGGGCTGCGGGTTCGATCCCTGGGTGGGGAACTGGGATTCCACATGCTGTGGGGCAACTAAGCCCATGTGCCACGACTAAGACCTGACGCAGCCAAATAAGTAAACGAGTGAAAGTCGCTCAGTCGTGTCTGACTCTCTGCGACCCTTGGACTGTAGCCCGCCAGGCTCCTCTGTCCATGGAATTCACCAAGCAAGAATACCGGAGTGGGCAGCCATTCCCTTCTCCAAGGGATCTGCCCGACCCAGGGATTAAACCCAGGCCTCCTGCATTGCAGGCAGATTCTTTACTGTCTGAGCCACCAGGGAAACCCAAGTAGATAAACAAGTATGTGGTTTGTTTGTTTTAAAAGAACAGTGATTCCACCTGAGGATTACTAGCCGACAGTCTCTCCATCTTTGGAGGGTACCCGGGGACAGCTTGACTCTGGTTCTCAACCGTGGGAGGTTTTGCCCCCCACTGGGCCTCTGGCAATGTCTGGAGACAGTTCTGGTTGTCATGACGGCGACAGGGGACTGGTGCTCCTGGCAGCTGGTGGGTGAAGGCCGAGGATGCTGCTAGACACCCTGTCGTGCACAGGACGCTCCCCCCATGAACACCAAGGGTGCCGAGGCTGAGACACCCTGGCCTAATTTATAAGACGGTAAACGGCATACGTAAAACGAGCTCCAAGGGACCCCGAGGGGAACCCATGGAAAAGAAAGGCAACCATTCTCCCCAGAGCAGCTGAAACTGAGGACCAGGGAGAGGCTCAGGGATGCTGCTGGGAGAAACACACGGGTGTGTTAAGGGGCTGCAAGTGGACAGAACCAACACTTTGCAGGTGTGAGGAAATTAAGGACCTTGTGCTGTGGGGCTGTCCCGGAGGGTCCAGGGGGCCCTAGTGTAATCAAGGGCTTTCCAGGTGACACGAGTGGGTAAAGACCCCGCTGGCCAATACAGGAGACGCAGGAGATGTGGGTTCAATCCCTGGGTCGGGAAGATGCCCTGGAGAAGGGCATGGCAACCCACACCAGTATCCTTGCTTGGAGAATCCCATGGACAGAAGAGCCTGGCGGGTTACAGTCCATGGGGTCTCAGAGTCAGACATGACTGCAGTGATTTAGACGTGCACACACACAGTGTAATCACAAGGGTTCTCAGAAAGAGGGAAGCAGGGGGAGATCTGACCACAGAAGAGGAGAGAGCAACGTGATGACAGAAGTAGAGACTTGGGTGATGTTGCGCTTTGAGGATGAAGGGGCCACAAGCTGAGGAATGCAGGCAGCCTACAGGAGCTGAACGGGCAAGGAAATGGATTCTCCCCTGGAGCCTCTGGAAGGACCAGTCCTGCCCATATCTTTGTATTTTTTTGGCCACACCGTGAGGCATGTAGGATCTTAGTTCCCCAACCAGAGACTGAACCTATGCTCCCTACAACGTAAGCATGAAGTTTTAACCCCTGGACCACCAGGGAAGTCCCTCTGCCCACATGTTAACTTTAGCCCTGTGAGACGGATTTCAGACTTGGGACCTCCACAACCAGAAGAAAATAAACGTGTGCTGTCTTCAGCCATTAAGATTGTGGTGATTTGTGATGGCAGCCACAGCAAGGGACTACAAGGCGTGCATCTCCATCTACAGGGGCACAGACCCAGAGGGCAGGCCTGAACTTGAATCCTAGCTGCTTCTAGGGAGCAACTCTCCAGGCATACCATGGCGAGCAGCTGCAGAAATGGACATAGAAGCCTCTATACTGGTCCTCCCAAATTGTGCCAGGGAGATCAGGGAGGGTGATGTTACAATTCAGTGTTTGACAAAGGGAGACAGAGTGCCATCTCATAGGGCTGTTACGGGAATAAGATGAGTTAACAGATATAAAGGACTTAGCAGGGGACGCCCAGAGTGGGCTGGAAGTGTCAGCTACTATAATAAAAACCACTATCCTGGTTGCTGCTGTTGTTTTACTGTCAGTTTTCAACTACATCCTCCCGACTGGTGCAGACTGGCAGAAGCCAAGGGTAGCCTGTCCTGGGGTAATGCTGCCCTGAAGCACATCCATATACAGCCAGCCACCCACCCCACTGTGCCCAGGCCAGCACCTGGGCCTGGCACCAGGTGGGGATCTGCAGAAGAATGAATGATGCTGGCGGGCTGGGGCTGGGAAGAGGTTTGCTCTTTTCATCAAACAACCCGAGTCACAGAAGGTGAAGACACATGGCCTAGAGCCTGACCTTCCACTGCGGGGTGCTGGCGTGAGGACATGGGTGGCTTCTGCCTTCAGATGCCTCCTGCCTTGTCTTTCTCCCTCTTCCCTCCCTGCCCCCTGGGGCTCTCCCCATCCTTCCTCCAGCCTCTTTCTTGCTGTTGGTTCTGCCCCGCTGTCCCTTCCTCTTCCTGTGGCAGCAAAAACAGAAATGAGTGAACAGGCTTCGGCACATACCAGCCAAGCAGGCCTGCAAGAGTTTAACAATCTTGGTTATTGAGCTGGTACTACTAACAAACACCTGTGGCTGGACTTGCCCTGCACAAGGCTCATTACTCTCTGACTCCACACAGATTACGCTCTGCACCTGGCATTCTCCTACACTCTCTTGTAGCAGTCTGCATTTCAGAAAGAAGGTCACGGGCTGATAACTTCAGGGACACCACGCCCAGCTGCTGAGCTGCCTGATGTCAGCCTCGGTCGTTTTGAAACTTTGCAAAGAAAGAAAAACAAAAAAGCAAGATCTTCACTGGGATATAAAACCTCTCCCTACTCACCAGAGAGGGGAGCACAGTTCTTGAGGTGCTAGCCTGTTGTGATAAAGCCAATTCTTCTCTTTCCTTCAAACCCTGTCTCTGTAATATTTTTTATTTGGCATCGAAGGACAGGGGGTCAAGATTTTGGCAACACTCCCTCTATCCTCTTCTCATTCCTTCTCACTCAGATTCCTTCCTCTTCCTTCCCTCCCTCCGCCTCTTGTGGTGTTAACAGTTACAAAGGCAGAACATCTAGGTTCAAGTCCCAGTTCTGCCACTTTGAGGCTGTGTGACCTTGGGTGAGTGGCTTCTCCTCTCTGTGCTCCAGGGGGTAGGATGAGATAACATGAGTATCTCCCCCTAGCGTGGCTGGGAGCAATAAGTGGACCCAGAACAGTGTCCCCTCCTGCCCGCCCCCCTCGCCCTTGCCTTCTGCCCCTCCACGACTAACGCTGCCTCTGCTTGACAGGATCCCTGTACAGTTTTCCAAGCTCATTGCCTCTGTCCCTTCTCGTGCTTCGGGGTCAACAGCCCCAGGAGGCGGGCAGGACACTCTCTCTCACTTTTCCGATGGGCACGCTGAGGGACAGCTGCATGCCCAGGCTCACTCAGTGCACCAGAGCCAAGTCACGACTCTACCCGGGTCTGTGTCCAATGTCCAGGCTCTAAGGCAGGACAGCCAACCTGAGGCTCAAAACTGCCTGCACGAGTGTCTGCCTGGCACTTCCAAGTCCAAGGTTTCCTCTCAAAATCGACATTTCTGGCTTTTCCTGACAACTTGGAAGTTCTCTGAAGCCAGGGCTAGTCATTAACACCTCTGGGTTTCACTTTGCTCATCGAGAAAATAGGGATGATGACCATACTGACATCATGAGGTTGTTGTGAGAATTAAACTGATTAACATGAAGCAAACATATGTCCATGTGAAAACCTATACACACACATGTTCACAGCAGCATTATTCATCATGGCCCAAAGTGGCCACAGTTAAAACCAACCGATAAATAGAACCAGATGTGACATAGACACATCTTATTCAGCCATAAAACAGAAAGCAGTTTTGACAAAGGTGACAGCGTGGGATGGACCTTGAAAACATTGTGCTGAGGGGAAGAAGTCAGACACAAAAGGCCACACAGTGTATCACTTCATTGACCCGAATTGTCCAGAACAGGCAAATTCAGAGATGTAAGGTAGATTAGTGTTGCCAGGGGATGAGAGTGACTGTTAAAGGCACAGGGTTTCCTTTTGGGGTGACAGAAATATTCTGGAACTAGATGGTGGTGATGGTTGCACACCATCCTGAATCTGCTAAAACCCACTAAATTGTAGACTTTAAAATGGTGAATTTTATGTTATATGAATTTTATCTCAATTTTTAAAAAGGCAAAAAAAATCTCAGAAAACCACATAAAGTGCTTACTTAGACAGGGTCTGGTCTAGAGTATGCACGCATTAAATGTCAGGTTGCTTAAGACTAATATTTCCAGTGCAGTTATTTTTTTCTTCATTGAAACAAGGTGTCTGACTGCATTTTTTTGTTTACCTACTGACAGTTTTTAAGCTTGGCCCTGCTTCTTCCCCTCCTGCTGATAAGAAAGCCTGGAGCTCCCTCTTTTGCTACTGGTGGAGATTCAAACCACACGAAGCTCTGGCTCATGTAGACTCCTCATCCCCGCCTTCCCTCTTAACCACAGTAAAAACCTATGCTGGGTGCTTTTCCTTGTTCTTGTAGAGCTGTTCCCTGCCCCCCCCCCCCCCCCGCACCTTATATCTCATAATGCAAGCAATAAACCCTTCATATCCTCATTCATTGATTCCAACCAACTCTGGGGGCAGGGTCCATCCTATCTCTGGTGGTAGAGATGGATTTCTCAGGTAGCACTAGTAGTAAAGAATCCAGCTGCCAGTGCAGGAGACATAAGAGACGCAGGTTCGATCCCTGGGTCAGGAAGACCCCCTGGAGGAGGGCATGGCAACCCACTCCAGTATTCTCGTCTGGAGAACCCATGGACAGAGGAGGTTATTGGGCTACATTCCATAGGGTCACAAAGAGTCAGACACAACTGAAGCGACTTAGCATGCATGCATCCATCCTATCTCTGCAGGGCGGACAGAACAGTCATCAGTGCTCTTATCTTCCGGCCACACTGGGCTGGCACTCCCATGTGAGGACAGGAGCAGCCTCTACACAGGGCACAAGCTCTCTAGTTGGCCACAGTCCCCACCACTCCTAGTCGCCTGACTCCCAGCTTCCTGCTCTTACTCTACCTGCCCGGTAGCTGCAGGCACCTACGCTGTAGGCAACTACGTCTGCAGTCCCAAATCTATGAGAAAGCTGCCTTGAGGCAGGTCTGCTGCTGGGATACACTGTTATTTCCGTTCTCAGAAAGGGGTTCTCTCCCTTCTGCCTGGGCTCCAAGACAGCCCACCCAGCCCACCAGGCTCCCCCATCCCTGGGATTCTCCAGGCAAGAGTACTGGAGTGGGTTGCCATTGCCTTCTCCACCTGTGCAGAGTGTACCTTCATAGAGAATGCCCTGGTCATCCCTGGTCTGGACGCATCTCAGCTTCCAGCGCCGCCCACTCTTGTCTGTCAACACCGTCCCCACTGGCAAAGCCTCCAGCGAGGTGGTCATCCGGCTTCGCTTCAGGGTCTGAGGGCTTTGTCTGGTCGTCTGAGGGCTGCTACGGGGAGTTGGGGATCTGCTCAGGTTCCCTGCAGGAGGATGGTCAGAACAAAGAAAAGGCAGCCATGGGGATGGTAGGGAGCTCTAAGCAGGGAGGGGAGAGGTCAGCTCTGGCCATGGAGAGATGGCTTGCAAGGGCAGCCTGTAGGCAGGGCGGCGGGGGAGGATGCTGGGAGGAGGATCCAGGAACGGGGAGGGAGGCCTGAGCAGAGGCATGATGCCCCACTGGCAGATGACCCTCCTCTCCCCGCATTGAGAGTCAGGCCAGGTTGAGTAAAACTCTCACCTTTGGGTTTCCCACTGGTACTCAAGGTGTCTTCAGATCCAGAACTCTTATCTTCCGAGGGGAGGGAGAAGGAGGGGGAGGTAGCATAGCTGGACCACTTCACTTTCTTGGAAGATGTTTCGGAACTGGTGTTCCTTTTTCTCCTTGAGCCTAGAGAGGCAGACCAAATGCAGACTGCAGTTACAAAGGTCCTTTCCAGGAACCATTAGACCAGAAACCCTGAGATCATATTCAACCACTCTTTTCCCTTTGACCCTCACAGCCAAGTTTTACTTCTATCACCTGAATAATCTAAGCAAACCCTTCCTTTTAGTTATTCTTTCCTTCACGGGTCTGAATCCCTTTTATATCCTCGAGCACTGTGTCACTGTGAGATCTCCTTCACATAATCTCTTCAGATCTATCTTCCAATTCACTATTCTCCCTTAAGCTGTGTCTGCTGCTGCTGCTAAGTCACTTCAGTCGTGTCCGACTCTTGTGTGACCCCACAGACGGCAGCCCACCAGGCTCCCCCGTCCCTGGGATTCTCCAGGCAAGAGTACTGGAGTGGGTTGTCATTGCCTTCTCCACCTGATGGCCATGATGCTATTTATTTGGTTGTGCTGGGTCTTAGTTGCAAGATGTGGGATCTAGTTCCCTGACCAGGGATCGAACCTAGGCCCCCTGCATTGGGAACACAGAGTCTTAGCCACTGGATCACCAGGAAGTCCCAATATTTATTTTTATTATCATAGATTTTATTTGGTTCTTTAAAATTCTGCCTAATCATTTCTAACTAGTTTTGGTTCCTTCATTATCAATAAGATTTCTCTGCACCCAAATCTGTGCCAACAAACCACAATCAACAGAGCTTACAAACCATGATAAATTCCTAACCTTATATAGCTCAAAGCTGAACAGTAACATAAATGAGTAAAATAATATATTTAAGGCTTCCCGTGGTGGCTCAGTCAGTAAAGAATCTGCCTGTGATGCAGGAGACCTCCTGAAGTGCAGGAGACGCAGGTTTGGTCCCTGGGTTGGGGAGAGCCTCTGGAGAAAGAAACGGAGCACCAGGAAAGTCCCCTGACTTTGTTTTAATAGGATCCTTTGGACTGCCACTTGAAGAGAACCATAGATGATGGAGAAGAAGCAGGGATAGCAGGAGGAGGAAAGTTTCTATGACAATACTGGTGCGGGTGAGACAGACCAGGGTGGTGGGAGGCAGTGGTCTGATTCAGCAGTGATTTTTAAAGGGAGGGCTGATGAAATCTGCTGGCAGGCTGCAGTTGTGGGGTGGGAGAGAGAGTGAACTTGCAGACGACTCTAAGGGCTGAGAAACTGGACAACTGAGCTGCTGTCACCTGGATGGGGAAGTCTCTGGAAGGGGCAGACGGGGTGGCAGGCGTATGAAAAGGTTGGTTCTGGGCACATGGAGACACGTATGGGATATCCAGTAGATATCAAGCAGGCAGTCTGATTTATATGGAAATCGATTTCAGGGGAGGAGTCCAAGCCGGAGACAGAAATGAGTCAACTGTCAAGTTTAGAGCTGTGAGTCTGCTAAAGATACCTGAGGAGAGAGAGCCTGAGTAGAGAGGGTGAGCCTGGGCTCTGGGCTTTAGTATCCACGCAGGGTCTGGCAGGCTGCAAAGGCGTCTGTCCTCTCTTTCTAGATGCATGCACACACACACATCACCTCTCCTCCAGGGAGAAGCGCAAAGACCCGGTTCTTACCTCGGGAGGATGATGTAAACGGTTTAACAAAGGACTGGGACTCCTCATGCTTCTCTGTAGGCAAAGGTTTTCCACAGTAGGGGCAGAATTTGAATGTTGCTTCAATACCTTTGCCACAGTCTGGACAGATCATGCTAGAAAACAGAATGGCGGGGGGACAGGAAGCTGAAAAACTTAATCTATTGCTGTAGAGTAGTCACCTGAGTTCCTCTTGGTGACAACATTGCAGAAGGAAGAAAAGTTATCATACCTGGAATACCCTCTCAGAAAGTAGCCTTTTTTTTTTCTGGCCACACCTTGTGGCAAGCTGGATCTTAGTTCCCTGACTGGGGCTCGAACCTGTGCCCCCTGCAGTGGAAGCACAGTGTTATAACAACTGGACCACCAGGGAATTCCCACAAAATGGCCACTTTTAAAATGAGTTTCTCCTCTTAAGGCTGACGCAGTGCCTTAAGAGGCTAACACAGGAGGGTAAAGAAAGTCTCCATAAAACCCAGAGAAGAGATTTTTAGACCTCCTCTCTGGATCCTGTCTGGAGTCACAACTGAATTGGAAGATTTTAAGTCTTAGCACTTACTAGTATGTGTATAGTTAATACCTAAGTCATTAAATGTAAACTTGACCTTCGATTTGACAATAAAAAGAAAAAGAAAAACAAAAACAAAAAATAAATAAATAAAATGAGTTCCTTATGGGGAAAAGTGAGACAAAGGAGTGAGTGCCTAGCTTCCCGGGCAGTATGGGATGCTGCCAAAGAGACCCACTTCTTTTAGAATACTGAGGTCGGTAGCATGACTAATGGGTAGGGAAAGGCTGGGAGAACAGCAGCCAGGGCATCAAAGAGACAGGGATCCTAACCAAGTCCTGGACGCCCTTAGAAAGCCTGGCCTTGAGTCACTGAGGATGCCTTATCTGAAGATCCCTCAGAGGGTCCATGGGTATTCCAGAGGCTCTGCATGCCTCACCCACATGCTTCTCTAGCCAGTGGCCAGTTTCGTGTATGCACTGGAGGCAAGCCTTTCCAGATGGCTGCAGAGTTTGTGCAGAAAGCTGATCCAACTCTGGAACTGGGAGAAAACACACGAACTTGAGCATTCAGCACTCTCTTAGGGAAAGTAAACAGAAGGCTATTGGTACCAAGCCAGGCTTTGCAGGGTAAAGAGAAGGCATAAAAAAAAAAATAAAAAAAAATAAAATGAGTTCCTGCTTCCTGTGTCCAGTCTCTCCCTAAGGGCCCAGGGCAGGTGCAAAGCAGAATAAACACAGGGTGAAACTACAGAGCTCATAAAAGGTATAGGAATGCCTTGAGGTCAATAAAAGTTGGGCAGGAGAACTTCTCCAATCATGGAAGCATTGAGGGTCTTCAATTGTAATTGTGATGCTCATTTCTTGAACCACATGATAGGGATGGGAGAGACGGTTAGTGCTCACCAGATAGCCACATACGCCCCCTTCAATTCCCAGGGTTCCTTACAGTGAGACTGGGGCCATATAACTAATTCTGGCCAGTGGGGTGTGAGCAGAAGTCATTTTCCGGCCAAGGCAGTTAAGGGCCCAAGTCCTCTGCCAGCCATCCTCTGCAGGGATGGCCCTGAGGAGGCCACTTACTCCAGACAGCATAGGTATGAGATGAAGGCCAGCTGCCTGGTCCACATTGAAATCCCATGATTGACAAATAAACTCTCCTTGTATAAACCACCAGGGTTTCAGGGCTTATTTGTTACTGCAGCATGGCCCACTACATCCTGACTAACTTAGTCAGATAATGGGTGTTCACTATGATACCCTCTAAGCCTTGTGTATTTCTGGAGTATTTCCTAATACTTTAAATAAAAATCAAAGCCAAAATCACACACAGAGATTGTGACAAATGAGGACACAGCAGGTACATCCACTAGCTTGGGCAGCCACAACTCACTCCCACAGACTAGATGGTTTAAACGACAGGGAATTTATTTTCTCACAAATTTGGAGGCTGAAGTCTGTAATCAAGGTATCAGCAAGTTTGGTTTCTTCTGAGGCCTCTCTCCTTGACTTGCTGATGGCCACCTTCTCACTGTGTCCTCATGTGGTTGTCCTTCTGTCTGTGTTCTAATTTCCTCCTCTTTTAAGGATACCGATCATATTGGATTAGGGCCTATCTTAGTCTGTTTAAATGGCTATAATAAAATATTACAGACATAGGACTTCCCTGGTAGTCCAGTGGTTAAGAATCTGCCTTGCAATGAAGGGGACGTGGGTTTGATCCCTGGTTGAGGAACTCAGATCCCACATGCCGTGGCGCAACTAAGCTTGAGCACTGCAACTAGTGAGCCTGTGTGTCACAACTAGAGACCCAACACTGCCAACAAAACAAAACAAAACAAAAAAAGTCCATAGCCTGGGTGGCTTAATAACAATAGAAACTTACTTCTCACAGTTCTAGAGACTGGGAAGTCCAACACCAAGGCACCACGGTGGTTGGGTCCTGATAAAGGCCCTCTTCTGGGCTACAGACTGACAACTTCACCCTGTGTCCTTATATGGAGGAAGGGGCTGGGAAGCTCTCTGGGTCTCTTATAAGGGCATTAACTCCACTTATGAGAGCTCCACCTTCAAGACCCAACTACCTCCCAAAGGCCCCACCTCCTAAAACCATCACATTGGGCATTTCAACATATGAACTTTGTGAGGACACAAACTTAGGGAGGCCCCTTTGTGAGGGGCCACCCTAAAGACTTCATTTTAATTACCTCTTTAAAGGCCCTATTTCCAAATATGGACACATTCTGAAATACTTAGATTAAGGGTTTCCATGAATGAATTTTTGTGGGACATAACTCAGGTCATGAGAGCAGGATGAAACTAGTTCATAAGGGAAGTAGAGAAACTCAACAGGGATAACAGTACAACAGGCATTTTCTTTCTTTCTTTTTTTTTTTTTTTGGCATTTTCAATGAATATATTTTAAACAGTAACAGTAAAAAAAGCAAAATTATTTTATTTGTTCTTAGTGTACAGTCCTGGTTATTAGCTGGGATATCAAAATCAAAGTCAAAATAAACTTTTGCTCATGACTTCATTTAACCTTGCAAAACAAAGGTTTTTTTCTTTTTACTTATCTTTAACAAATAACAACTGTCTATATTTAAAATGTAAAACTTGTGTGTATGTGTGTATGCCTGTGTGTGCGCTCAGTTGTGTCCAACTCTTTGTGAGTCCACAGATTGCAGCCCACCAGGCCCCTCTCCCCATGGGATTTCCCAGGCAAGAATATTGGAGAGGGTTGCCATCTCCTCCTCCAGGGGATCTTCCCGAACCAGGGATCGAACCCACCCCAGGGATTGAACCCGTGTCTTTTGGGTCTCCTGCACTGACAGACACATTTTTACCCACTGAGCTATCAGAGAAGCCTATACATATATATATATATATACACGAAAAACTGAGATTAAGACAGAGTGATCATAGTTCAGGCATAAAAAAACAAAACTGGGTGGTCACTGAGGATCTGTGAGAACTCGAACTTTCTGTGAATGCTACCTAACCCAAGGACACAAACTGTTTTTTGAAACATCTGCTACCTGGCATCTTGTGTCTCAGGGTTGTTTCCCCTGTAGCCAAACAACCATTTTGGATCCCAACTAATTCTTGCTTAACAAGCACCCTTACTTCTTGCCAGCTCCAATTGTAATTCTTGATAAACAACTCACGTAACTAACTGTGGCCTTGCAGTTTTTGCCTTTAGAAGCCTCCTCCACTTGTAGTCCGACAGAACACAATTCAGGTTGCTTCTTTTTATTATTTTATCAAAACACGAATATATGTATCCCTTTTTAAAATAAAAGTGTTTACTGAATTTTTCACAGCATTGCTTCTGTTTTACGTTTTGTGTCTTTTGGCAGCCAGGCATGCGGGATCTTAGTTCCCCATCAGAGACTGAACCCGCACCCCCTGCACTGGAAGGCAGGCTCCTAACCACCTGACCACCAGGGAGGTCCTGATGTATTTCTTTATTAGGATGCTCTCGGGCTGCAATCCTAACAAACTTCAAATAAATGCCTATTTTAATCAGGTCCCCATTTCTGAAATTTTGGTTAACAGTATACATTATGAAACAATTACCATAATAAAACTAATTCACATATCCACCACCTCTCATAATTTCAACTTGTGTGTGTATGTGTGTGTGTGGTGAGGAAACTTGCGACCTACTCTCTTGGCAAATTTCAAGTATACACTCACATTATTATTTACTATAGTTTCCATGTTATACACTAGGTCTCCAGAACTTAATTATCTTACAATAGGAAGTCTGTACCCTCTGATCAATAATATCCCCTTTCCCCCACAGCCTCTGGTAAGCACTATTTCACTCTGTTATCATGAGTTTGACGCTTCTTTTTAGATTCCACATATATGTGGGATCATGGCATATTTATCCTTCTGTGCCTGGCTCAATCCAATTAAAACTTTTTCCTTTATTCACTTTAAAGGCTGGTCTCTGTTGCAATTGCAAAGAGTGGAGTCCTTACAGTCTCAGGCTTTAGTCCCAGGCTGCTTGAATTCCAGATGTGCTCTTTGCTGGGCATGTTACTTAGCCTCTCTGGGCCTCAGTCTTCCCAATGGTGAAATGGGGCTTTTAACAGTTCCTATTTGACAGAGTGGCTTCCTGGGTGGCTCAGTGGTAAAGAATTTGCCTGCCAACGCATGAGATGCAAGTTTGTTCCCAGCGTTGGGAATATCCCTAGAGGAGGAAATGGTAACCCGCTCCAGCATTCTTGCCTGGAAAATTTCACGGACAGAGGAGCCTGGCAGGCTGAAGTCCATGGGACTGCAAAGTCAGACACAACTGAGCCTGCTCACATTTGAAAATGGTTGGAGGCATAAATGGAATACATTTCTATCAACTGCTAAGAATAGGAAAGTCTTTTACGTTACTGGTTATCATCTTCCATTTGTTAATATTTCTATTCCTCCCTTTTCTCTTTCTATATCTTAAGCTCTGAGCCTCTCAGATCTCTCTAGTTCTTCTTGGGGCAGACTCATGAAAACCCAGTGTCTGCCCTTGAAACCACTGCCTTGTCCATGATAACTTTCCTCCTAGGAATGAAGTCTGAGAGAAGCAACACACAAGAGATGGAGCAGGAACAG